GAGGGTAAAAAATTAAGATCGATTTTTTCTTTGATTCGAAAGTATATTTGGTTGGTCCATCCCAAAAAAGAATGTATAGGTGGCAGTTTATAACTCGTTTTGATAGAAATTTGAAACGACCAAAGTTTATTGGAGAGTGGAATTATTTAAAATGTGAGAAAACAAAAACATATTTTTATGTTCTTTTACATAAAAATCAACTGTGGAAATCATAAAGAAACAAATAAATAAACGGTTGAGATTTGAAGAACTGCACATCCTGTAGTTTCTAGGAACTCTAAATTATTGTGATATTATTATTACTCATCTTTTCAAGCTTGCCTCGAGTACTATAATTCTTCCAATGCTCATCATGAATATATATTAAAACTGTGAATTAATTGATCCATATATATAACAAGCAGAACCAATTGAATGAATGTTAGTTCCACGAACCACTGCTGTATTTTTTTGTCAAAAAATTTATGGACGATATCTTCGGTAATAGATAAAGTAGAATAAATATGACTTGATAAGATAAGAAAAATAACGGTGAATGTTAATCATGTTTTTAGAGTATGAGTGTTGATACACAATTTTTATCTAGATTTTCACCTATCTCAACAAGGAAATATTCATTCTGATAAAACCTTATGAAGATATATACATATACATATATTCCTTATTTTTATGTAAATATGCATAATAAAATAAACGTGTCAAATTTATTAGTGTTGATCTATATGATTAAATGGTTGTATTCTGGACCAAATCTACCTGCACCTACTATTTTTTTAGTAGCAAAACTAGTAGATGATCACAATGACCATGATCATTATGTTTCTAAAGTTTCATGAATCATGAACTTTAACCTTCATCGATTGTATCTTTAGATCATAAAGGAGCATATATAACTGACTCCCTCAATTTCATGGATGAAGCGCAGATTGATCAAAATGTCTATATATATATATAGAGAGAGAGAGAGACCATGCGTAGTCGAAGAATTTGCAGACACAATAACTTCTTAGCGTGACATGCTAATTTTTCTTCTGCGAGCTTCAATAAATCTCAGGAACTGCAAACGCCGAGAAATATCTAATTGATAGAACAAGCAAAGAACCTTGTAAAAGGTAATTAATACACACACCACACAGAACTTTCACATTGTAGGTTGAAGAATAATGACCTATTCTAGCTATCACATAGTTGGTTCCATTCCTCACGCAAGCCTCAGCTTCAAATTTCAATTCAACAAGAATTGGTATATATATATATATATATATATATATATATATATATATATATATATATATATATATATATATATATATATATATATATATTTATATATCAGGAACCAAGAAGGAAAGGGTTATAGTTCTTCCCTGACGTGACAAGAAATGTTCTTTTTACGTGCTTTACCTAATAACTCGAGTGATTGAATTCAAATGTAGTAACATGTTGGCACCTAGATCAGAAAGGGAGGGTGTGCAAGTGAGTTACATTTCAAAATATTATTGGGGTTGCAGCATGCATATCAGTTTAATCAGGTTAATTAATTATTGTATCCAAACAACAAATAGATCCTCAATTGTGTGAGTGGGAATTAGAAAAGGGTGATATGAGTGTGGTGTAGACTCCAGAAGGACTATATGTGCACTACTTCTAGTTGTACCAATGGACCGATGCTGTTAGCTCATAAATAGAGGGTTACAGTTTGATATTTCTGCATCCAAGTCTTGTCAATAAGGTAGCTAGCTAGTGTATGTAGGTATTTACTTTCTTCAATAACATGATGCCTTTTATGGTACAAAGCTTTTCTTTTGTCTGTGCTCAAACCATGACTTTCTCCTTAATTAATTTACTCAACAATGATGAGAAGAAACAACCTGATTATGGTTTACCAGTGGTTGCTTCTCTGTACCAATTTCTATGAAAAAACTGCTACTGCAACTTATAACCAAAAACTGGGGATTTTCTGCTAAGTACTAAAGCAACAAAAACATACCATATATGAAATTAATTGTAAATTGCCCTATTCATTTTTTATACTTAGAAGTAATAAGTCGTACTTATTTTTACTTAATATTTGCATCTCGTAACATTTTTTTTCTTATTCAACAATTGGCCACCAATTCTACTTGCAAAGAATCACATGGAGTTGATAAATGGTTGTTGATAACAATTTTAACACTGTCGTTTAAAAGGTTCTGTCATCATTTTTAACAATGATAAGCTCTAGGGTTCATTCATTAGTTATCCCACTCACATATAGTTTCTAAATTTATTTATTAATTTTTAATTAACTACCCTATAAGTTATGATGAAACTTAAGTAGTAGTTTTTTTATTTGTATGTGAGCTAAACTTAACATAGAGCATAAATAATTCCGTACATATTTTATTTGCATGTTATTCCATTTTAAATAATTTATTGAAAGCGTTTCTTTTTTTTAATGTACAAATCTGAAGGAGCCAAAGCTACATACAGCTGTCCTCATAATATTTTAAAAAAAAAATGCACTTCACATCTTTTTTTTTCCTATAAGATTCAAATAGCAGTTATTTTTATAATTCGAGTAGAACAAAAAAAATATATATATATATATATATATATATATATATATATATATATATATCACAATATCCGGAGAGAAAAAAATACTACAAGCTACAAAATTGATCAATCACTTATGAATTAATCCCGTGAGTTTAATTCTTTAATTTATAAACAAAATCAATGAAAGAAAAAAAAAATCAGAAAAATTCAAATTAAAGAAACAGAGTCTGTCATTGCAGTGACTGCATGCATGCGGAGTGTCTGAACCAGAAGGCTCGTAACCGCTAATTTGTGTCTGGCTTATCTTACTCCTAAAAATCTATAATTATTGTGTGGATTGATGGTTCTGAAAATATATAAGAGTATTATTAATGAAGGTGTCCAACCTATAATTTGACTTCTTATGTTTACACGATAATGCATGGAATGAATTGATTTTGTGGATAATTCTTGCAAATACAAGGTATCTTCTGAATTGGGGAAACAGTGTATCTTCTGACCTAATAATTTTTTTTTTTTTCAAAAGCTAAAGCTAATTAATAAAAGGTATAAACATTATTAATATTATTATTTTTACTTTCTTTTAAGCTCAGCTTGTTTCTTTCTTTCTTGCAAATAATTTTGTTGAGCTTAATTAGGTCCTACCACGCTAAACAGTAATATATATATATATATATATATATATATATATATATAATGTTCAAATAAACAAAAAATTACATAATAGTATTATATAATTATGTCTAAATTAGTAAAAATATTATTTATTGTTTTTTTAAAAACAATATTTATTTTATTATTATTATTATTATTATTATTATTTACTGTAATTATATTTTTTTCATTAATCTCTCTGTATATATACAAACAAGAAAATAATTATATAATAAATATAGAGAGAAGTTTGGAATAAGATGGTAATGTATAGAGATAAAGAAAATAATATTACAAATAATTTGTATGAAAATATACTCTTATAATGTCATTCTTTCAAGAAATTGAGAGTCATGAAATTAAAATAGCACTTAAGAAATGTGATCATTTAACTCTTATTATTATTATTATTATTATTATTATTATTATTATTATTAAATGTATCAGTTGTTAAGGGAAAAAACTCTCACTCAGTGATTAAGTAATGTTTTTGTAACATATTCATATTGTTTTTATTTAGTTTACGAGAATTTATATTACATAATTTAGTTTCTATAATTATCAATTGTATGATAAATTGTTTTTTTAGTATAAAACTGTGGTGTAAAGTTCACATACTTTTAAGATTAAAATATATATACACTAAATTTCATAATCAAATCAATATTAATTATTTCATTTTATTCAAAGTCCCAAATCTCAGCTTCAAACTTTACCATCCTCTCATCTTGCTACGGGATCTGCTTAATCTTTAGATTCTTTATTTATCTTTATCCACCTGTTAAATTTTCTCTCCTGAAACTAACACGATCCAATTAATTTCTTTTCTTGTTTAACTCTGCATAGTGAATATACATTTTAGTAGAAAATTCATGAGTTAATCATTCGAATTCAGGATTTATTTTGTAGTAGAGTTTGCCTATTTTTCTTAAAGATTATGGTTTGTTTGACATATAAAAAGGATTGATAATACTATACACTACAGTATGCATCTGTACACGCACCCATGTATTTGAATTTTTTCTTGTTTTGATTTCGATAAGAGAATGGTCCTGACAAACAACATTACAAAATTAGTAATATAATTTGCCAAAGGGATTTCCGCCACTTCCTAGTTCCTACCACTTAACATGCTGTTACCAAATAAATGTAAATAAGATAAATCTTACTAAAGCGAGCATACAAACTTCATAAATATGCACCAAAAGTGATAGGAAGGGGGACAAACGAGAAACATAAATGTCAATATCTAAATTTATGTTTTGAGGGAAAGAACTCGCATCTTAGCCACAAACTATATCTATCACCTTGGTTTTTCCACTTGTATGAATTATAACCACAGTATTATAGTAAGTCTATACGAGGCTAATTTGAGACTTCCCAGTAAACTTTTATGACAAACTGATACTTTAAGGAGCTACCGCTATGCTTCCCCGTAGATTTTACGACACCAACATGATAAACGAAGAAAATATTTTTGCTCACATTAATACTAATTACAACAGGTTCTTTAAATAGATGCACGATGACCTTCTGTGTCTGTTTTATGTATCACTCGGCTTTCCAAATGACATCCAATTAACCCTTCCCCGAATCAACGAATTTCAGTTTCCAAATCAAAAGTCCGCTTCTACACAGAATGAAAATCTTTTTTGCTACTCTCAGATTGCATGTAAAGACTTCACCTGCTGAAACATTTAAAGACAGGGACAATGTGTATCAAAGACAAGCTGTATCATAAATTCATAGCATTATAATGAAATTAAGGAGATTCTGAAAAACTACCAGATTATGGAATAAGGGTTTCAATGTTTTGAATGTTCTTTCATTTTAGTTCCCTTCAAGTTCCTCTGTTGCTTGTATCCATAAGGAATGGGGAAGCGAGGCCTGTGTTTGGGAATACTCTTCTCAAATTTTAGATCTTCTCCTCTGATCATATAGATATTCCCTGTTTCGGGTATGGTGAGATCAGCTGGATTCCTGTTCACCATGCATGTGTTTCCAGAGATGATTTTACATGGCAGTGGGGTTTCATGATTACCATTAACGTCCAGTTTGCGCTGCAGTGACGTTTCTGTTTCATTATGAGGCCAAGTAATCTGCTTGCTAACTTTATTCTGCAGGGTATAGATGGAACTCTTCATCTTTTCTTTCTTTCCAGATTTCGTTGGATTTTGACCGTTGAAATCAGTAGCTCTAACTAGTTTCTTATCATGCGGGGTTGATGAAGATGCACCAAAGGTTGGAGAGCCAACAAAACAGCCATGCTTATCCGATAAGAAACTTCTGCTGTAATAATCAGAAGATGGCCTTTTTGTGGTACTAGGGGGCTTAGATGTACCAATCTCCAACTTAGTGTTGCAGTCACCGGGATAAGAGGGCCTTTTAAGCATCTGAGTACTGACACCCACATCAAAGGTTGTACGCGACTGCATGCCTGCATCCATAAGGCTGAGTAAATGCATGGCTGGGATTGTATCATTAGAATACAAATCAAGGGATCCCCTCAAATTTTGATGAGGCTCCATTCCGCTATGTTTGCAAGGAAATGGATATTCTCCATTCATCCTGCTGAAGGTTTCAGAACCTGTATTCCTATTAAGCTTTTCTAGTCCAGCAGCATTCAGATTCATGTAGTTAAGATCATTATCCCTCTTCGTGCTTTGCTTATGAAATACTCCAGATTGGAGAGAAGTCATGTCCATGTTACAACTAGGATGCTGAGAAGAAACAACCTTTTTGGGTAAATCATATCCTGCTGAAACATGATTTGAAGTCAAGGATGCCCAGATGCGAGAAGCTTCATCATCCTGATGCAAGATATTCTTGTGTAAGCTACATCCTCCAGGGGCTTGAAAAGTAGCATTAGGGGATCCACGCTCTTCAAAACTCCCATTCAACCTGCAATTTCGAGCACTACCGAGCTGACTAGAACCAATAGCTGAAAAATGGAATCCACCTGACGGCTTCTTTTGGGACTGGGAAACTTCAAGTCCAAAGGGGGATTGAGGTGGACAGAGATTATTCATGCCCAAATTGTTTCTATCCAATGGAGAAAAGTACACAGGCTTTCTCTTGCTAGGCTTCACATTCTCTCCTCTTGCGATCATGTTGTTTTTCTTATGTTTTCCCTGAGGTTTCTCCTTTTGGCCCTCTTTCAACAAGCTCATCTCCCCTTTTCCGTGTATAGTAGAGCCAACTGCAATCTGTCCTTTCCTTCCAAGAGAGGGGTTTTCTAATGTGGAGGTTCTATTTTCTACATCAGGAAGACACCTCTCATACTGATTCTTTGCCAAGAGTTCCACAATTTCCATGGGTATATCATCTAGAGTTCCCTGCTCAGACACTTCCATTGTTTGTTCACTGTATCTTTTCATAAAACCTAAGCGGTCCACAGCTTCAATAGATTTTTGTGCATTTCTGGCACCATTAATTTCCTGCGTTCATAAATGATATTCTCAGAAAGTTGAAATTTAAAGAAGTCAAAATGGTTCACGATTGAAAAAGTAAAAAAAAAATCCAAGGAGATTTCTGTCCACTTACTTCACAATGTACTACTTTTCCAGAAAGAGCATTGGTTGGGTTCTTGGAAGGAATGTTTTGCCCTCCAAAAACATTGTTATCACTGTCTCTCCAGTTAAGCTGTGGTACTTTGGAAGTTCCATCTTGAAAAGGCATTGAGATATTTAGACGACTTTCAATTTGATGGATACATTTTTTGTTGTAAACATGTGCATCCACCATATAATTGTTTAGAGAAAGATGAAGTCCCTCTTCCAGTCCTTTCCTATTTAGCAGCCCTTGGGCAGCAGGAATTGTTACTGTTACAGGCATAGTAGTCCTGGCTTTTTCCCCTGAATATGCACAGTAATCTTGTACAAGCATGTTATTTTTCTGCCAGGATATAGAATCCAGCTCCCCGTCAGTTTGCAGCATTTTTCCCTTTGCTTTGGACAAATTGAACTCATTTTCTATTCTGAGGGAGTTGGTAGGAAAATTATCCGTCCCTTTGCCTGTGAATGCATGAAGAGGAGCTAATCTAGAAGAATTAGTTTTAGATGCATATGCCTTTTCGGTAGTACCCACAGTTTCTTCATTTTCTCTTTGCGGCTCTAGTGGTTGCTCAGGAATCAAGGCATTATCTACAACTTGAATCTTTTTGTTTTTCTTCTTACCAACTATATGGCTTCTTTCTCCTTCAGTTTTATTCCAGTGGCCCTTTGCTGCATCTTGTAAACCTAATCCCTTCGGTACATCTTTGAAATTGGATCTAGTATCGAAAAAAGTATCAGTTATTTTTACATCTCCCTGTGAGTTCTGAACTTCATTTTCAACCCTCTGAAAACTCATGCTTGTAGGTCTCCGTACCTCATCCAGAGGAAACTTCCTTTTTCTACTTGGACATGTGCTTGTCAACTCTTTTATCAAGTTTTGCTCAGTCTTCAATTCACCATTGTCGCTTAATAAATCAGCCATCAAGCGCACCTTCCGAGGCTTCCTTCGAGACAAACCAGTGGACTTTTCTGAATGATGATCCTGAAAATCATTTTCAACTGTGTTGTCTATACTTCCTGCAGGTGCAGCATTATTACAAGCAACTAATTCAAGAGGAGGACCAGTAGGGTGATCATCTGTATTGTCCAAATCCTTCATTAGTGTCGTTCCTTTCCTCAAAACTCTGCAAACTTTTATTAATTCATTCTGGCATTGATTATCTGCAGGTGTTCCTCCATTACACATCTCACCAGAGATCTTCTCCGTGCATTTCAGATTGCTAGAAAGCCCAGGAAAAGAAACTTCATTACCTTCACAGTCTGTATCAGGAAAAACAAATTTTATGTAAATTACAGTTTAGTAATCAAGAACAAACTAAAATAATATACAGAATTTGTCACTTATGTATACAAAAGAAAGCAGTGCGGCTTGACTTGACTGTATTATCTCCCTTTCAGTTGAGCCTACCTTTCTTAGTGTGCACTACTTCTGGTATGAGGTCTAGATTATTTTTAGGTGATTGAACACTTGTCACTTGGTGATTGAGATTATCCTCCAAGCCAATCTCAAGGTCTGGGGGACACACAGAAAATCTAATGAAATACTGAAAAAATTATGAAGAAAATATATAGAACTGATATTTAAGTTACCAATTGTTCTGATAGGTACAACTCCAGCTTTCTTGCCTTTCTCATTACTATTTGGCAAGTAATCATTGATGCAGCTCAGGGTAGTATTAAGATCAATTTCTCTTCTCTCAACAGCATCAAGCATCGGATCTTGCTGAATACCAGACTTGAGAGCTTCATTATTGCAATTGCTACCAGATCTGCATTCAATACTGCAACAATTCAAGTCTGTCTGGTCGTTTTTCTGGATCTCCTTGACAACAATTGCTAGTGCAGAGTTTTGGCATCGCCTACAACTATATTTTGGTGCATCTAATGGCAGAAATGACGGTTGTTTGTCAGATTCATGTACTGGAAATGGCCAACAAATTTTCCAGTCTTTTTTGCGAATTTCAGACACATATCCACTGCACTAACAATAAAGTAAGAGTGTTAAGGATCCTGAAAAGGAACCAAGAGAAAGATTATTTATTCTACATAAACAGATAATTTAATTTCAGTTTTTTTTTTCTTTGGTTGATGAAAGAGTTCAATATATATAATACAAAACTTAGATGCACTTCTTTGAGCGTTTTTTATTTTACTGTAATCAGAATTGGAGTTTATCTTGATAATTTGCACAATAAAGATTTGCATTTAAGCTTTACAAAGGTTACTGATATAAAACTTCAATTTTGACTGAGGAACAATACCAAAAGCCTCTACGGACTTACATCTATGTTTTGAACTTCGATACATCCCTAAATCCCTAAATCAACTACAAAACTGAACACTTATGGGCATAATTCTGTAAAATCCAGAACTTTCTATAGTTAGGCATCACCACCCATTTGATTCTTAATGAGACCTAGTTGCCATGCATTAATTAATAGGGGTTATGAACTTTAAACTGCTAATAGTTATAATCAACTTTAAATTGCTATTAGCTGTAATCAACTTTAAACTGCTATTAGCTGTAATCGACTTTACAGTGCTACTAGTTGCAATCATCTATATGACAGTGTTATTGTACTATAGTGAAGACAAATACATAAGGAATTAAGGATCTCATCTGATAAGAACAAGTCAACTGTAGACATCAATTACAAGATACTATGCACGGAATGGATGGAAGACATAAGCCGTATAACACAAATTTGCTTCCGTCTCCTCCATCTCTTGACAAAATTAGTAGGACAGTAAGAATATGTAGCATAGGCCTACATACCGTATTGAGAAATGTTCACATTTGCCTGCATCTCTCTTGCAAGTAGAATCGGCAAGATCTATGGATATTGAGTCAATGTGAATATACGAACCCATGAACTAAGTGACAGTATTTAAAACCACGTTGCAAATGATCTTCCACAGCTACGCATGCGCATCCTCACAGCACAAGCAACTAGCTAGAATATCTGCCAACACAAATTAAACTTGTAAAACTTGAAAGGGAAACAAAAGATCAAACAATTAAGTCAAGATATAATTATTCAAACGTCAGTAGAAATAGAAATGCAAGGAAAAAACTAAAAACACTTCTTAATCAAGCTTTGTATAAAATTAGGGTTTATGCAAATCAGCTAAGTAATGAAAAGGAAATCCAAGACAAACAAGGGCAAAGTCCACGACAAAGTTATATACACCCAGCCATAACTTCATATACAATGATTAATCACATAAAATAACAACCTCCAACATTATGAAAGTTACTAAACCCTAGTTTTCCACTCAATAAAACAACTACAAAGATGCTTGAAGTCAACAATTGAACATTTGAAAGGCAACAGTACAAGAAAGAAGCCATCCCACCCATACAATCACTTCACATACTGAAACTTTCACACACCAAACAAGACCAAGCATCTCGCTAGGGCTTTTCATAACCGAAGGCCAAACTGGTAATCTCGCAGCGAAAAGACTAACTCAATGTATGAATTAACGCGATGCTAGAAGAAACGCACACCATAAACGCATGCGAGGAGCTGAAACCAAACGACGAACCGAAGCGCAACAATCCACAAAAGCCTAAATCCTAGGGTTCACCGACCAACACAAATCACCTCTTATCGAGAGATAAATTAACTCGGCAAGAATTAACGTGCAACGAAAACGAGAGAAAGAAATTGAAAAAAAAAAGCGTGAAATGGCAGCAATAAAGTGAGACGCAGGAAAAAAAAAAGAAAAGAAACGCAAAGCAAAAGCTGAAGTGGACACACCATAAACAGTACAGTGACCTTAATATCTAAAACAAATCAAAACACGCTCAAGAGCATCCAAGAACCGGTCCCGATCAACACGGAATCAATCACCGAGTTGAAAACCGGGGGCGAAAAGAAATAATCTGGAGACGAAGGCCCACCCGAACTCACCTGCGGACCACCACACACGATCCCTCCCATCTCCTAGCCGATTCGAAACGGCTCCTCGACAAAACCGCACCAAAGGATAGAACATTCGACGGCGAAGCCAGGTGGCTCAGCTGGGAGCTCCGATTCCCTACCTCTTGAGCATAATTTGACTGCGAAGGACGCAGAAACCCTAGAGAGAGAGGGCTTTCGATTCTTTCGGACGAGAGAGAGAGAGTGTGTGTGCGTGAGTAAGAAAGAGAGAGAGTGAGAGAGAATTTTTATCTTCTTGTCCTTGGAAGAAGGTGTGTCTGTTTTGTATATTAAAAAAACCCGTAGCAAGTCATGTTTATGTAGGATCCATATGCATAGAAATTGTAGATGTAGAGAGTGTGTTAGGAGAGAGAAAAATCAAGCCAATGAAAAATAACCACGTGGCGAGAATGTGCGGCTCTTATCGCTAACCATTTATAATGGGCTTTGTGGACGGCGAGGAAACCCTAGGCGGAAGGTGAAAAAAAAAAAGCGGGTACAGTACTAGCGCGTGTGCTACACGCTCTCCCTTTTTCAGTGTTTTCATTTATTAATTTGTGCCTGTCGTGTCATCCAAGGTTAAAAGTGCTGCTCATGCCCTTTGCACATTAAACGCTTCTCATTGGTGCGTGATCTTCACCACGCGTATGAGAGAGTGGACTTAGATGCGGCCTGGGACAATATTTGAAACCCTAAGTTTTTGTTTTTTATTTGTTTTTTTTTTTGTTTAATAAATACGGAGCGTTTAAGTTTTAACCCTAAACATTTTGCAGCAGACACATCTCCACCCTGTCCAAACCAGTAATGGTGTTGGTAGATGTAACGTTAGAGTTTGGCTTTTTGATTAAAAGAATGACACTCTCAACTTATATATTCAAATATGAAGAAGAAATTCGAAATTTCGGCATTTACTAAATACAATTTATAATGGGTACACGATTTGTCCATAATCATAAATACATAGTGACACGTTTCAAACTCATTTATAAAATTAACTATGACGTGAGATTTTATTTTTTTAATAAAAGGATATGATATTTACAAAGATAATAAAAAACTGAATAATTACAAAACCAGAAGTTAATTTTTAAATCATTTAGTCAGATTTAGTGGAAAAAATTACTCTTCCACAATTACCGTTGTTTAAGTTGAGTTTGCCTAAATGTTGTTTTATTACAGTCAATGGAACAATACCTAGAAACCCATAATCAAGGAAACTAACTTAATGATGCGTAATTACTTATACCAGGTCATAATTAATATGAATTTTGTTTGATCTAGACTAACAATTATTTTTTTGACAATACTGTATCAATTATTTATGGTAAAGTTGTAAGAAACATGCTTATAAAAAAAATTAGCTCCAACGTGAATATTTTGCCTTTATGGAAGTAGAATAATTTAATGAGTTATAAGATGCGGGTGAGTTAATTTGTATATGGAAGACTTGGATTTAAAAAGAAAAAACTAAATAATTATTATTATTATCATTCCCGTAGTTTTGGTTTTAGTTTAGGTTTGATTCTTGAAATGACATGTAGAAGAGTTAAAAATGATAGAAGCTATGAATCTGGAAATAAAAGTAACGTTTCCGAATTTCGGGCAATTCCATCTATATACGTCTCACTTTTCTTCCGAGGTTTCATTAATGTAGGGTGAATAGCGAGAACAACATTTCCTACAGAAAACACCTAGATCATAGTCTAGATTACCATTATTAAGTAAGGTCCTGTTTTATGCAATAGAAAAAAGGCATTTGCCACATATATATAGATATATTTGTGGACTTTACTTCACCCCAAAGTTTTCTTCCTACACTATTTTCCTACAAGATAAAGGAATAAAACCCATGTTAATTTATAGCAAAACTAAAGCTTATTATTTATCATGTATAAATATATAGCTATCTTTCATGTTCCCAGCTGGGTAATAACAAGTGAGTGAGTGTATCTTACATTTTCAAGCTTTCGTATATGAGTGGAATTAATTTTGTTGTTTAAGTTAAATATGACAGAAGTGGTTTTTATATATCTATATATGGTAGGGATAGCTTGACCTTCTAATATTGGGGGAGAGGGCCCTATGTGCTACCATGCATGTATATATGTGTATATATATACCAATAATAAATAATGTTAAGTATAGGGAAGTGTCTGCATGACCCATGTGATCATATGAAATGAAACCAATGAAATTAAAGAAAGCTGTACAAAAAATCACACTTGTCCAGAACCCTCCACCCACCCCACGTACCATCATCTTATTTTTACCCAAATAAAACGATCCATCTATATAACCCAAAAGTTCCATTTATTTTTTTCCTTCGTAACAAAATGTATATTTTTTCACTCAAAATGTGGAATCTAATGCTTTTCCTCGACCAACTTTAATGTCTACAACTTTGCATCCCATGATTCTCATTTAAACATTCCAATCACACACACAAATATATATATATATATATATATATATATATATATATATGTGTGTGTGTGTGTGTGTGTGTGTGTGTGGCCCAAGTTAATTAATACAAGCTAGCATATCTCTCTAACAATCTGACCTACGAAAAGAGAGTTGTTCTTCATGGAATATTACTATTGTTCTTAGAACTGACATCGATTATAAGTCCTATGCAAGTACTGACACATATATTGTTTGCATAAGCATCTATGTAACTCAGATCCACATATTCTTGACTATCTGCGACACTTACTGTTATAGTTAATCCTTATATTATTATACATGATAAGAAATTATTCTTCTAATTAATTCACTTACTTGCATGCTAATTAATTTATATTATAATTTAAAAAAGAAACTCTAGTTTAATCAAGACTTGTTTGTATGTATTTCACTTATCAGACAGTAATTTGCTGCTAGTTATATCGTGGGCAGAATTTCTGAAGAAACAATTTTCCAATATAAAGAGATGACAAGTTTGTATCTGTGCATGTATGTTAATTATAAAGAACATTGTTGTTAATATGTGGGAAACCAATGAAGATTTCACTTCAATAGATGAGATCATTTAATCTACAGTTAAAAATTTTATGTCTAGTAGTTCTGCAGTCAAACTGGTATGTTTTTAAAGTCTGTGTTCTAAAGTTTACCACCTCTCTCTATATATAGCATTGTTTTTACTAATCTGATATGTGATTTAGTTTATTCTTTCCCCATTCATTGACTCGTTTATTTCCTTGCTTTAACTCTTCCATGGAAATTGACTATTTCACTTCATTTGATGAGTTAGCTACCTTGTTAGTTTGTAGCAGTTGATTGTGAACTAATGGTTATTGGATTGGATGAGATCTGCAACCTTAACAGAATATAAGACTTGGTTTCTCTACTTTATCTAATTTTGTCCAAACTTAAATTTTATTCCTAAATTATTACTGTAGATATTCACATCAAAAATTTATTCCAAAGAAGTACTAATGGCACCCTAATTATGTCATTCTTCTATATCTACAAGTACATACAAAAAGTTTGCAGTGGACTTTACTAGATAGAAAAATACAAATTAAGCTAAAGGTTCATAATTAATTAACCCTCATTAATTCATCATAAAATAACTAAGCATCTTTTTTTTTTTTTTAGGTTAAAACAGTGAACAATTATAACTTAAGAGAAAGAGAATATATAGGTTAAAAAGAATAAACCCATTCAAGAAATAAATATATACATATATATATATAGAAATTTTGAATAGGCTTTTTTCCAAATTTCATTATCTGTCACGTCATTTTCATGTCTCTAATAATTCAGAAGGCTCTTATCTGATGAATTGCCAGTTTGTACCAGAGCTGAAGGGTACCTGCTGTTTGACAACGTAGACTCGTAATACGACATACTTAGTTTTTATTGTGAGATGCCCCTAGCTTTAGCCCTGTTTGTAAGTTGGTAGCCAAACTTTTCTAGACAGTTAACATCCGTCTATATATGTATACGTTGCCATTGTCTATTCAAATTAGTTATTAATTATTTAACTAATCAATCAAATGGGGTAATTATTTTTTAGAAAAATGGTGTTAGTGGAATTTCTATGATAGTGAAAAGATAAAAGGGATAAAAAAAAATGTATATATATGAGTAGCATGGCTTAGGGATTAGGCATTGGCAGGAAAAAAAAAATGATGATGAGTGATGAGAGGCAAAACTGGGATGAGTGTGTTGTGTTGAGGTGCAGGATGAGTGTGGGTGGGGAAGGGTGGATGGAAAGGACAGCACTAGTTGTTTTGTGTGTGTTTTATATATATTTGCAAAAGCTACTTCATGCCAATGCCGACTCAATGCGCAATTTAAGGCTTTTCCAAGGACTCCTGTCCTAAACCACTTAAATTTTCATGCCTTAATTAGTAGTATCATAATTATTTCTTCCGTATAATAATTAGTATGCTTTAGTACATAATTTTATATTTCTAATATTTAAATAAAAATATAAATGTAAAATATATCATTCTTTTATTATATTACAAAAATTATCAGATTTTCTTAGTAAATTTTTTAAAATATTATTTTCTAACTGTTTACATACAATTCAATATTGTATTTGAAGAATCTGATTCAATTTTGTTAGGATCAATATGATAATAATTTCTATATTATGACAAATATTTTTATTATGATGTAAACAAACATCATTGTTATAAAATAATAATTAAATTGTGTGTTTTAAAATAATAAATTTTATTAAATAAAAAAAAACTAAAGGATTTTTTTTTCAAATTGAAAGTATGAAACAAGTATTTAAATCAAAATACATAGTTTTATATATATCTATGATGTATTAAAATTCAAATTTAAGTAACAGTATTTGACAGGGATAAAAATGTGTAAAAAATAAAATAAAAAAAAGTTAGATGTATGAGTAAACTAAGGGAAAGATAATAAATATTCAATTTTTTTCAATAATTGGTATTTCATTTATAAGTAATAATTCTAATACTATGAGATTAAGATATTACCAATTTAACAAATAAGATCAAAACTTTATCGAGTATTTATGTAAATATATATATATATATATATATATATATATATATATAATTTTATAATAAAAAATAAGAGTAGATAAAGAAAAAATAATACAAATATTTTATGAATAATATATATTAATAGTTTCGTGACATAATTATTACCACTAAATTGATTTTCTAAACCGTTTTTCTTATCTTATATATATTATTATCCAAATTTGATGATATATATATATATATATATATATATATATATATATATATATATATATATATATGGTGGTAGTCACATGGCCTATATGTATAATATTCTATAGATGAAAAAAATGTCAAATGTTCTGAAACACCTCAAATTTTGAAATTAGAAAACAGTACCTTGTTAACTTCAAAATGCATAAAATAGCTAAATGATTAAAATAACAACAATGAGTGATTATTTTATACTAAAGTACATCAATAGATATATAACTATAATGATTAATACCACGGTGAAGTGGTGAATACTAACAAATACGTTACATCTTAGCCTTGACGTTGATGTGAAAGGCTAAATGTATGGACATTATATATACGAAATAGTTATCAAATGATGAACATAATTAGAACATCATTGAGTTATGGATATAAGTAAAACTTGTACAGTTTTAATGTAGGTAGAGTTAATGAACAATTAGTTTTGTAATATAAAATTGATTGTTCATATTTAGGGTTTAATCATCTTATTTTAATCAATGCATTTATTTTGATGTTTACAATAATATTTCTGTTGTATTTACATTTGTTAACAGTAAGTACATATATAATTAAAAAAATCATAAAATGATGCTGGGTCATTATAAAACTATATGTATTTTTCAGTTTTTAAAATTTTAATACATATTATTAAAAGAAGTAATGATAACATTATTGGATGAATTTGTAAGGATTGATCAATTGTTATTAAAATTTTTACTTTGTTGGTATATAAGGTTTATTAGTTATGTAATGTTTTAAACAGGTTTTGTAAGGGTAAGACACATAAATAGTTGACTCTGAAAGTTAAAAGTTAAAAATATTATCAATAAATATTGATTGTTTGTCAACTATAAATTGTTATTATGATGTAGAACAATATAAAAAATAGAATAAAAAAATATCATTATCATTTTATTATATATAAAATATATTAAAAAAATAAATACAGTGATATAGTGTAAAAATATTTTTCATTAGTATAATAAATTTGTTGGAATTAATATAGAAAAAAATAAAACATTAAAATGAGTTAGTTTAGTTTTAAATTTATATCATTAGTTAAATATTTTTTTATTTGTGTATAAAAAACTTAAAACACGCAAAATATAGAGATAAACTGAATAATTGTAATAAGAGTACAAAATAATTTTATACAAATTCGGAATGACTTAAAAATAAAGTAAATGAAATATCTAGTAATTAATTCTAGAAGGATTATATATGTGATTGAATTGAAACGGTTGAATACATATTATATTATTAATTAACCAGTTTAAATTATTCTCATAAAATCATCATTTTTAATATAATTTTTTTTACATAAAAATATTTTTTATTTATGAAATTTGAAATTGATTTTTTTTTTTGAAGATTCGATTTATCTTTCACTCTAACTATATATAAGAAACATATATAATTCATTTTGGTAACTTCAGTAATTAAATATGATGAGTTCTAAGACAGTGACTCATAAATAAATGTGTGTCTGTGTCTTTGAGAATCGAGATAGCTTATTAAAGTTTGACATGTTGAATTACACATTTTTAGACTATACACTAAATAAGTGAGACATTTGTCTAACTCTATCACACAATCACACACTTAATTTTGAAATCATTGTCGTGTTTAATTCATTATTGTTTCATTTATATATTATAAAGTTTCTAAACTTTTTTGTTGAATGAATTTATTTCATATATTTGGAGATCTTAATTTAAAATAATATTTTAATTTAGTTCCGATAATTCATCAATCTACACAATGATATATATCAACATACTTTTAAACCAAACACAAATAAAAAGATATATAGAAGACACATGTAGAAAAGTTATCGATCCCAAGAATATATATGGTAAATTCGAGTTGGATATGCTCCATATATATAACTCTAACACAAAGTACTCATCCACATTTTTTTACCCACAACTGTTATAGAGGAGCATGAAAGCGATTGATAAATAACTTAGCACTTTGATGACTAACAAGTATCAGTGACAGTGACGTAGCATCCAACTTAATATCAGTATATGTTTGGAAGGATGATAACTGATCATGTACAAAAATACAATTTACTTTTTTTTTAATATATTTTTTTCTTTCATTGGTTGTAAACTCATAATAGAAGATTCTTATGGGCAACCGTTTTTACTTCTCTTGCGTCTTGTAAGAAGAGAAAACAAGAATTTTTTTTCTCGTTAATTTTTTCCTTAATTGCTAATTACTTCTTCTAATCAGTATGTAATTTTAGTTTTAATAAAATTTTATTTATACAAAATGAAACTGTTTTAATATTTCATGTGTGAGGATTGTTCACTCTAGTAAGAAATGCATGTATCAATACTTTACAACTTCAATTTTCATCAAACTATCAACTCTAAACCTCAAAGTTGTCAATGTATATTTCAATTCACAACCCTACTATATAAGGGATTATCAATTTTACACATTCCAAATTTTTCAAACAACTCAAAATCAGAATTCAACCCTTAGATCATACATATAGGTTTTAAATGAGAATCGAACTTACAAGATAGGGATTAATTTTTCTTACTGGAGTTTCTTTGCGCACTTTCAAGGAACGATAGATTAAGGAAGAGGAGAAGGCAAAAACACTCCATGAACTCCTTGACCATTTGCAATTGTTAAAACCTAGAAAATTCACTGAAGGATCAATCAAGACCAAAATCTAAAATAGCTTAATCTCTTCCTAAACTTACATGTGTGAAGATCAAAGGTGAAAAGTAGGAATACTCGAATAAAGGAGGAAAGTTACCAAAAACAATACAAAGATGAGGGATTTTGAATTTTTATAACTAGATCCTAATTTGGAAGATAGGAAAGAAGTAAAAGAAAAAAAAATGAAAAAGTCAAAGAAAAAAACTATAGAAAAAATAAAATAGCTTGTTTTCCTATTTACAATATTTAAACTTAATTATATTTTCTTAAAAAATAATTATCAGTTAAATCTTTAATCAATCTCAAAATTCATCTCTAAGATTATTATAGAATTGTAACATTCTAAATATTTTTTTTAATATTTTTAGAAGTTGCCTTAACTTATCATCTCTTTCAATATATCGGTTAATTGTTTTTTAAAATTAAATATTATATTATGATATAAATAACTTATCATAAATATAAAATATTGTTTAAACATTATTTATTTTCTTTATGTGCTAGGCTGAAAGTTTATTGAGATTATTATTTAATTAGAATGCTTTTAAAAGTTGTTATCCCTGGTAAAATATTTTATCCTTCTCAACCTATATTTATATTTCTATAAATTATTTTTTATCATCATATATTCATGTTAATATACAACTAAATTTTAGTTTAGTTTTACAATTTTTTAATATAATTAGTATGATTACACCTGTTTTAAATCCAGTTTAAGAGAAGAAAAATAAATAAGATCAGCCTTTCATTGACAATATAATAATTTATTAAACAAAGTATATTAAACTAAAGCAAAATGTAGGGAGATTCTATAATATGAAAATAATCATCAAATAAGGAACTTTTATGTGAAAAGAAACGTGAATCAAGGTAAATCATATGCAATACGTTTTATTTTTATTTTGGATTTCTATATTTGAAGACTTCAAATTCAGAATAGCCTGTATGCACAAGTTTTACTCCTCGATTCATTGGATTCAATTAGCGCCAAAATGTATCTCCGTCACTACCCGACAGTACCGTTACCTTTTTCCATGATCCAGTGGACACAAGCCATTTCAAACTCCGCAAGAAAATCTCGATCGTCCAATCAAACCTTCCAACTTATTCAATTCAATTTTCAAAATCTCGAGAGGGAGAAAGAGTTGACACTACCAGGGTCTTCCTCACAACACCCTTTCTCCGGCGACACCACAATAAATTCCGTTTTCATTTCATCAAATTCCAAATCCCTCTCTTAAATAATAAATGTCGTTTCATTCCTTGTGTGCTTCTTGCAATTCATAACGCACCAGAATTTATGGACGCTGACGCCTTTCCGTTTCGCTTCAACTGACCTCGGCCAAGTCTTTTCCGCAGTTTCGGAAACGCAACTCGAAACAGAGAGTCGTTCAGAGTGACACTGTTGCCAACTGCACCGCTCTTAGGCGAGATCGGTTTCTGGTCACTGATAACAAAAGATGGAACAGAGCGAAATGACTTCGGATTCCGCTCCGCGGATATTGGCAAGGCAATTGGATTTCACTGCCGCTTATGGAGATCCGCCGCACCAGAAACCGCCGCCTCCGTCATCACCGCCGCATTCGCTTCTGCCGCCTGCGTTGCAATTGCAGTTAAATTTGCGGCCACCGGGGCAACGGCCGTGGTTATATTCAGAGCTGCTGGAGCAACAGCCGGCTCGTCGAATTCCGCAGCCCGTGCAGAAACTTCCGGTGAAGGTGTTGCCAGTGGTGTAAGTATTCTTAAGGCTCAAAAGAAAGAAAGGAAATGAAAAACCGTAGTGGTTATGAATTTGATTGGCGCTGTATTGTATGAATGATAAGGAATGCCCGGATCGTGCTAAAGTGTACCGATATGCGTTAAGAGTGTTGAATTGGATATATGATTTTGCATTTTAGTACGTTAAAGGTTGTTCTTGGCTGACATAATTTGATTAGATGCCCCCAAAAACGTTAAAGGTTGTTCTTGGCTGACATAACTTGATTAGATGCCCCAAAAAATAATGTTTCTTAAAAAATTTAAGTTCAATTATTAATGTGGTCCGTATTTTTGCATAATATTTATGTTGTAGTCCCTACCCAAAAGAAACTACTCACTTTAGTTCCTTAAAACACACTTTTTAATCTATTTTAGTTGTTCGGAATTGTACTGACTAGAATGGAGTAGAAAATGTATCAGTAAAGAGTAAAACGAATTGAAAGATGTACCTCTAGGGATTAATTATTCGAGTTCTTTCCTGGTATAGACTAAAACTTAAAAGAGATATAATTAAACCAAAAATTTATAAAGGTGAGATGGTTAGATAAGTACTGGAGTAGAGTGTTTTTGGTGAAAAAATGTAAGTAGCTATATATTTTTTAGGGATTGAAAGCCTAGAATTCCGTCATTCAGTTGATAAGTCATTTCAGCAATCATAAATGTTTGTATCAGAATGAAATGTGGGGCTTATTGTTATCATTTTGAGATTGGCTATAATAATCTGAATTGTGGGTAAAAGAAGGGAAAGAGTATATCATATGCATTTTGGGAAGTATCATAAATTTGCTGCTAAACTGAACTTGAAAACTAGTCAAAAGAGCTAAATTTATTGTTAAAGAAAAAACTCCAAATATTTCAAAAGTTCGTCCATATAATAAGGGGTTAGAAATACTGTCTTATCTTTTTTCTCACTGTTGAGTTTTGCTTCACAGTAAGAACTTCTGTACTAATTTGAATTTTATTATGTTGGTGGACTTATTTTTCTTTCAGGAAGCCGGAGTCTCCTAGATCACAAATTCGATTTAATGTGGAATCAAAGGATAACACTCCAAAGAAACAAAAACAATGTAACTGCAAAAATTCTAGATGCCTCAAATTGTAAATCCTTTACCTTCTCCAAATGAAAAACTTTCATCAAGAATGCTTTATCACATGACCATGCTATATCTAAACAATCTTGCATATTATTTTCCTGCCCTCCCTCTCTCTAATCGGAAAAACCTACTTTGTCAAATGCTAGGTACTGTGAGTGCTTTGCAGCTGGGATCTACTGTGATGGCTGCAACTGTGTAAATTGTCATAACAATGTGGATAATGAGGCAGCCAGACAGGAGGCAGTTGGAATTACATTGGAACGCAACCCAAATGCTTTCAGACCAAAAATTGCTAGCAGTCCACAAGAACCACGAAATTCCAAGGTATATAATTCAATTCAATTCCCTCAAACATGTGTAATTGTTTCTGGCATGAAGCTTTTGACCAAGTTTTTGTGATGGCACTGAAAACTCTAGGTTTAGGTGATTTTTTATTTGAAATTTGGTGCATTTAAATGTCTTGTATAAACACAGGAAACTGAAATTCAAGTAATAGGAAAACACAATAAAGGATGTCACTGCAAGAAATCAGGTTGCCTAAAGAAGTACTGTGAGTGCTTCCAAGCCAATATCCTCTGCTCTGAAAATTGTAAATGCATGGACTGCAAGAATTTTGAAGAAAGTACTGAAAGAAGAGCAATTTTTCAGAGAGATTATAATCTAGATCACATCAAACAGCCAACTAATGCTGCTATTACTGAAGTTGTTGGATCATCTGGCTATCGAACCCGTATAACACCCAGGAAGAGAAAAATTCAAGAAATGTTTCCTAGAAAGTCAGCCGCGGATCAAATTGTTAACGTGACTGCCCAATACCTACAGGTGCTTTCTACTTCGCATTTTCTATTCTTGACAGGATTTACTCGGATTTATATATACAATAATTTACTTATTCTTCATGCAGTAGGTTCATTAGCATTAGATTAGAAAATGAAAAATCATACGAATCCATCAATGCAATAACTTTGTCTTGTAATTATCGCATGCGTCAAATCAACATTTCAATCCTTGTTTTATCCCTTGGAACCCTTGATTTCCTTACTGTATACATATTGGTTTAGTGATCAGTTTCCTCCATCCTTAGAGATCCAAACTTAATATAATCATTTTTTACATTATTTGAATTTTAATCAGGAAATTGATCGTATGGCTTCATCACCTCCGTCTCTGTCAGAATCATTTGTTTCTGAACATGCCAACGCAAGAATTTCTGGGTCTTCAAGATCTACGTACCGGTATGTGACTTTTCAAATCATTTTGACGAATTTATTTATGTTTTACGTATAGATGTAATCAATTACAACTAACAATTTCTTCATCCCGAAGGTCGGTATTGGCAGATGTCCTCCAGCCACAAAATGTGACGAATCTCTGTTCACTTTTTGTAATTCTCTCACGAGTAGCTCTAAATACAAATGCAGGTTTTGAACAACTCATGATGTATACTCTATTTATCTTTTTTAGAATAATTTGATTTTTCTACTGAATGGTGAATGCTCTTTAATGTTTCTGTTTGCTAATATTCCGAAGATTTTTACATATGTACTTCTAATTAAGGGCTAAATTAGGGGGAAGGATGTTATATGTCATGATATATCTACAGGGAAATACTAAGGAACTGGGAAAGTATTATGGTTACCAGGACAATAGTAACTGATGCACATCCAAAGTAAAGATTTAAATTATGTTTGATAAAATTGAAAATTTTAGCATAAAACTTGATATTGAATATTTTATGCTCAAAGCTTTGAATTTGCGAGGTTTGAAGTGAAACTATTGACATTTAATAAATTTAATGATGTTATTTTTAATTTTTTAATGAAACTAGTATCATAATAATAATACCAGCGTGGAAGGTGGTACTGGGAAAAACCTTTACAGGACCTTTCATACACTGAATACTGTCAGCAAATTTTCACTCTTTAAATTGGTTTAGATAGGCGACCAATAACACGACTAATATGCCTGAAGTCTTTCATTTTTGGCCATAAACGTAATTTGCCCACAAGTGTCATCTTGCAGTGCATATCTTTGGAAATATAGGTTTCGGAGTCAAGGTTATATGCTCTGCTCACATTACTTTAAATATTTTTGTCTTTCTACGTTACTCTCTAGCTTCCACTCTTTCCATATTTTCCCAACATGTTTTATCAGAACAAAGTTTGCATTTTAAATGTTTCCCAACTTTTCAGAAACGAGAGGGAACACGAAAACTGGGAACTTAAAAGCTTCCGCTGCTTCATCAGCTAAATCGCTACGAGAAACTAAAGATGTCCGTCAGCCTGTTTGTGATGATCACGTGAATAAAGCTGAGGCAGATGCAGTTGATATCGCCGATTATAATAGGCCAATGTCGCCAGAAACGCTGGCATTGATGTGTGATGAACAGGACAATATGCTTTTTGGAAATAGGTCTGCAAATGAAGCTGCGTATCAAAACACGATTCAAAAGTCATTTAATTTTGATGCAAGAAGCACTGTTGTTTACGGGGAGCAGGAAAGGATTATAATGACCAATTTCTTGGATGTTCTTCGCGAACTCGTTACATTTGGTAGCATAAAAGGTTAGGTTCACTGTTATGGTGTTATAGTAGTCACTGGATTTTTATATAGACACAATTACAATTTTGTTTGGCAAAATTAATCTGGATTTTTATGTTAAAATTTGTACTATTCTATAAATAGTCACTGTGGAAAATCCCATTTGACTGACAAGGCTAACAAATGTTTTACTTGTGTGTTGTGACAGGAAAACTAACTCAGCTGATCATGTGTAGTGTACCCATACCTATCTGCTTTATGATGCATCTGTACTTTGTAGGATTTTCTTACTCAGCTTAATTATGTAAAAAAACAACTTGCATCATCATAATCGTAAAATTAAGAATGTTGTGTTAGGATCAGAGTACCAGCACAAATACACACAACTAAAATAGAGACTAGAAAAATAACACTGACAATAGGCAAAAATGGAAATTTTATAATGACTACCCTTTCCCTTATAATTGGAAATTACCAATACTCGGAAAGTAAAAGAGAAAGAAGGAGAAATTTTTGGGATGTAGAAATAAGGAGGGAGGGGCTCCTTTTATAAGAAGGAGGAGAGCCCCCCAATTGAAGTTCCCACCGATGTGGGACTTCTTTCTTCACAATCTCCCACTTGAAGATTTTGATGAAATTAATCAAATCTTCACACTATGTCTTCTTCTCTCACATCCATGTTGCTTATGCTTTCGATAGGCTATAGAGGGATCGACTCCGTATAAACTTGTCAGCATTAACCGGCTTTGTCATTACATCTGCTAGGTTCTTCTCAGTGTGGATCTTCTGTAAATCTACACTTCCTTCTTCTACTACTTCTCGAACAAAATGATATCTTATTCCTATGTGTTTTGTCCTCGAATGAAAGGCTGGATTCCTTGCAATGTGTAAGGCACTTTGACTATCACAGTACACAATAATGTGTTGTTGCTTGTGACCAAGTTCCCCCATTATTCTTTTAATCTAGATAGCTTCTTTACATGCTTGGGTGACGACCATGTATTCAGCTTCCGTAGTAGACAGAGCTACCACATCTTGTAACTTGGATAACCAACTTACTCGCCCCTCCATTGATGGTAAACACATAACCAGGTAGTAGACTTCCTTTTATCCAGATCACCTGCAAAATCCGAATCAACATAGCCTCTAACAACTCGCTTCGATCCTCCATAACATAATGCAACATTTGAGGTTCCTTTTATATACCTAAGGATCCTCTTCACATTTTGCCAATGCTCTCCACCAGGATTCCCCATGAATCTACTAACCACTCCCACTCGCTTGTGCAATGTCCGGTCTTGTACAAATCATGGCATACATAAGACTTCCCACTCGTCGATGCATACGGTACTCGAGACATTTCAATCCTCTCCGCTTCACTCGCTAGGACTCATACTTGAGGATAACTTATAGTTGACAGGAAGTGGGGTAGAAATTGGCTTGCAATCTTGCATGTTGAAGCGCCGCAAGATCTTAAGTAAATAATTCTTTTGAGAAAGCCAAATCTTCCTATTTTTTCTGTCTCGGTGAATTTGCATCCCTAAAATCTTGTTTGTTGGTCCTAAGTCCTTCATATCAAACTCCCTAGCCAATTGTGCCTTCAATTCTTGGATTCGAGCTTTGTTAGGGCCTACCACCAACATGTCATCCACATACAACAGCAATATGATGAAATCATTTTCTTCAAACTTATTGTGGTAAGTACAATGGTCCGAACTTAGTCCGTAGTATCCGAGGCTAATAATGAAGGAATCAAATCTCTTATACCAACACCTTGGCGCCTGCTTTAGACCGTATAGAGATTTGTTCAACCTGCAAACCAAGTTTTCTTGCTCTTTGAAGCCTTCGGTTGGAGCATATATATTTCCTCTTCAAGTTCTCCATGAAGAAAAGCAGCTTTTACATCCAATTGCTCAAGATGTAAATCAAATGCGAGCACACATCGGCAGGACAATTCGATTGTTGTCAATCTAACAACTCGGTGAGAATATCTCGTTGAAATCAATGCCTTCTTTCCGAGCATATCCTTTTACCACCAGTCTAGCACGATATCTTTCCACTTGATCATTGGCATCTCTCTTGATCTTATAGACCCATTTGCAACCAATGGCTCTGCAACCTTTTGGAAGTTCCACAAGATGCCATGTCTTGTTTTTATAAAGAGCTTCAATTTCTTCTTCCATAGCGACCATCCATAGAGGAGCTTCGAACCACTCACGGCCTCTTGAAAAGTTGAAGGTTCTCCTTCTTCACTTAGGAGACAATACGCATCATGACTTGCCATCACATATTGTGAATGCCAAGATGGTCCGACTCTTTCTCTTATTGATCGTCGGAGTTCTCCTTCTTCCACCTCATTTGGCTCATGTTCTTCATGCTCCTCCTCCGACTCGGAGGAATGTTCCGAAGTCTTCTTCTCTATCCGTACTATAGTCTTGTCCTTTTCCGAGCTGTCATTTATCCGCTTGCTTTGCAGTTCATTTTCTCGCAAAGACGACATCTCTGCTAACAATAACTTTGTGGGCAGTGGGATCCCACAAGCGATACCCCTTCACATTGTCAGCATATCCCAAGAAGATGCATTTCCTGGATTTTGGATCCAACTTCGTCCTTTCTTGGGTGTTGAACATCACGTACGCGGGACAACCGAACACATGTAAGGAAGAATAATCGGTTGATTTTCCACTCCACATTTCCATAGGAGTTTTCAACCCAATTGCTGTTGATGGAGACCGATTTATCAAGTAACAGGCAGTATTCACGGCTTCTGCCCAAAAAGACTTTGTTATGCCTCGCAGCTTGCAGCATAGCTCTGGTTCTCTCTAGAAGAGTTCTATTCATCCGCTCTCGCTACACCATTCTCGCGAGGCGTGTGTGGAACAGAAAATTGTCTCACAATTCCTTCTTGCTTGCAGAATGCTAGAAAATCTCCATCTACATATTCTCCTCCATTGTCTGTCCTCAAACACTTGATTCTCCTTCCGGTCTCAAGTTCTACTTGTGCTTTGAAGTCTTTGAACCGCGCAAATACTTCAGACTTCTTCTTGATAGGGTATACCCATAATCTCCTCGAGTAGTCATCGATGAACGACACAAAATATTTTGCTCCTCCGAGAGATAATTCCGGCGATTCCCAGACATCAGAATGGATCAAGTCCAAAGTTTGCTTACTCCTTGTGGTGGTTCTTGCAAACTTCAACCTGTGTTGTTTGCTTGTCACACAATGCTCACAGAAGGGTAAATCGACCTTCTTGAGCCCAGGTATGAGATCACGTTCCGCAAGAATCTGCAGACCTCGCTCTGACATATGTCCAAGTCTACGGTGCCACGTTATCGCCGCTTCTTCTTGGCTTGTTGACGCAGTTGTTGCATGATTTTCTTGCAAGGTGTCTCCCATAAGCACATACAAGTTTGCCATTATTTTCTCTGCTTTCATGACAACTATGTTTCCCCTCACTGCCTTTAAGATTCCTCCTTCAACATGGATCTTGCAGCCAAGGTCATCCAATTGCCCTATAGACAATATATTTTTCTTCAAGTCCTTCACATGTCGAACTTCTTGGATTGTACGAATAGTACCGTCATACATTTTTAATTTGACAGTACCAACTCCAGCAATTTCTAATGCATGGTCATTTCCCATGAACACGGATCCACCTGAGATAGGCTCGTAGGTTTGAAACCAATCTCGGTGTGGGGTCATGTGCCAAGTTGCACCTGAATCCATTATCCACTTGTCATGAAATTTGTTTCCGCCATTAGAGCTGATTGCTGCTTCGCTTACCAGAATTACTCCTTCCTCTGAAGTACTCGCAACGCAACCCTGTGAGGTTGATTCTTCATTCTTCCTCTTCCAACACTCTTTCTTCGTGTGCCCTTTCTTGCCACAGTAGTAGCATTTAAATTTGAAAGTCTTCTTGTTTCGAGAGCTCGATCTGTCATGATCTTGTCTCCCACTTGAGCCATGTTCCGTTGATCTTCTTCTCATCATTGTCAAAACTTCTGCTTGTTTAGAACTTTCTACCTTATTCATTCGCCTGGATTCTTCTTCTAGAATAGCTCCGGCAACATCATCAAAGTGTAGTTGTCCTTCAATATTATTATTTGTAATGTTGATGATAAGTTGATCATACGAATCTGGCAAGCTCTGAAGTAAAAGCTCCGCACGCTCATTCACAATTATGTTGAAATTTGCTGCTGCTAATTGGGCAAACAAGGTGTTCAGTTGGTTGATGTGGTCTGTCACCGATGTGGACTCACTCATCCGAAGAGTATAGAGTTTCCTCTTCAGAAATATCCTTGTGTGAAGTGACTTCACCTCATATAATTTAATGAGGGCATCCCAAATCTCCTTTGCAGAATCTTTCTCCGCAACACTGGATAGAACTGAGTCTGCCATTGCCAAGTGTAAATTTTCAATAGCGTTGCTGTCAATTTTCTTCCAATCTTTATCCGCCATTTCTGCAGGTTTTTCCCTCAATTGCTTTTGCGCAATTGTCCTTTCTCAAGATTGCCTTCATCTTCAATTTCCACAACGAGAAATTGTTCCCGTTGAACTTCTCTATCTCGTACTTTGCTGCCATGGTTGTGTTTCCACTTATGCAACTTTCACTTATGAATAGTATTGTCTACTGGAACAATAGTAGTAGACCGTGAACCAGTACACTAGGTAAGTTCCCAGGAAAGAGAGGTGAGTCACTAATGGACACACTTAAGTACCAAGTCTTTCCTAGCCAGAACTTCCCCAGACAACAGTTTCACACTACTACACCTTTTCCAGTAACAACTCTTTTATGATGTGGAAGATCAGATTAAACTGCAACCACAGAGCATACTCAGAATTTTACCAACACTATTCTAGTGACTAGCGCAACGGAATAAGAACGTGGCTCTGATACCACTGTTAGGATCAGAGTACCAGCACAAATACACACAACTAAAATAGAGACTAAAAAAATAACACTAACAATAGGCAAAAATGGAAATTTTATAATGACTACCCTTTCCCTTACAATTGGAAATTACCAATACTCGGAAAGTAAAAGAGAAAGAAGGAGAAATTTTTGGGATGTAGAAATAAGGAAGGAGGGACTCCTTTTATAAGAAGGAGGAGAGTCCCCCAATTGAAGTTCCCACCGATGTGGGACTTCTTTCTTCACATGTTGGGCAAGATCAGAAACATGAGAAGACATATTCACCCATCGCAAACTCGCCTTTTTGTCATGCTTAAGCTTATATATCCAATGTAAAAGCAATTCTGTGAAGTTTTCTTTTTCAAGAATCTAACTAAAGCTAATTAACTAATATTAGATATCTTTACGTTGTAGAAGCAACGTGCTACTCAGCCACCAAGAAAGGAGAGAAAAGCAAGAAATTTTGGTGCTGAAGCTGACTTTGGTAGTGAGAAGAGAACTAATAGCAGTTGCATTACAAATTACCCCATCCCATCGGTTACTAAAATTTCCCAAACAAATTATGCCATAACAAATGGACATGGTAATTAATGATCTTTGATTAATTTGATTGATAAAGAAGAGAGATACTAAAGGTTAAAAATTCAAGTTGGAGTTGAAATTTTATATCAAATAAAAATGAAAAAGTTGAGAAACTTTGTGAAAAATACTCATAATCTAATACTTAAGGTTTTAGGTTAAACATGATATATGATATTATCTTATATAGTTAGTAAAATTCTTGTATTAGAAATCTTCTTTTGAGGCAAACAATTAAAGTTTTATGTCAAAAGTCTTTCTAATAAAAATTTTAAGTAAGCGAGTCTTGTTGTGTTGAATAATGGTATAACTAAGATCATTATTGAGTACTTATGATTAAGATGTAAAAATGAAAAAAATTATATAATTTATAAATGAAAAAAACTCATAATCTAATATCTTAAGATTTTGAGTTGAAGTTTGTATTATTTTATCTTATAAATTTGATCTTCCTATTATTTAATTTTTTTTTAGTGTTAATCCCCTAAAAAATATCTAACACTAGTGTCATTGTTTGACTACCAACTCATGTAATTGATGTAAACCAAGCTTCTTGGTGATGAAACCCCCTAAAATTTTGTAAATTATATATATATTTATAATTTGAACCTTCTAAACTTAATAATTATTAAATATATTTACATGTATATAATTTTAGCATAAATTGATTAATATTTTAAATAAATTTCAAAATTACTCAATATTATTGTCATTATATGACCATGAGTTGCTGAATAAATTTTTTTAAATATTAAATAAGTCATGTTTCTCAAAATTTTGTAGTTTATATATATACTTTTATATTTATAATTTTAACTCATCGTCTTTCTATATTTATTTATTATTTATTAATAATATATTATTTAGTTCAAAAAATTAATAATTAATATCCATAAATTATAAAATACTCTGTTTTTCCTTCACAAAACTATAGTCTACTCTTAAATCAAATCTTAACGAAATTTAAAAGTCCACAAATCTATAAAATATATTTTTAACTAAAAAATAATTGATTATTCTTAATTATTCTTAATGGAACACTTATTTACACAAAGATATTTCCATACTCTTTCATTTTTCTAATGACCTAACTTTCAGAAAGGAGACATTGGATTAAAAAGAAATTGATTGAAATTTAAAGCAAAGAAGAAATGATTTAGATGCCCTATGGAGAAAACAAAGATTTAAGATTTATGTTTGATAAGACTGGATTAGATACTTAATTAACTACTATTTTTACATTATATATGTGATATGTTAATAGGTACACCATCAACCACGTAAGTAAGGATGTCATGTCATTAATAATGTAATTTAAATTAATTAATTAATTTTAAAATTTAGGGATGAAAAATATTTGTTTAATTTGAGAGAAAGAAAAACATATATACTCTATATTTAAAATTTAAAAGAAAGTAGTTAAGAGAATATAGCCCAGTTGATTAAACAGGATGCGTTTATTATAAACTTTCTAAAATATTGAAAAGCATACTTAGTGAATCTTCTTTCTAACTCTCTTGTTCATGGGTAAAACCTTAATAATATGTTCTTGAGAAAGTCAACTAGAGTTAGTAGTGTGTAAGTCTCATGACCCAAGGTCCTACATCTTTTACAAAGAAAAATGAGAACTTGGAATGATTCACAATTGAACATCTTTTAGTAGATTATTTTTTTACAAGGAAAGGAATAAGGAGAAGTTAGATTTGGCGAGATGAGGAATTCACAACTTTAGTTGTAAGATTCCTAGTGAAGAGTGTTTGAATTTGAGAATTTAAATCTCTTCTCTTTCTCTCAAACTGACACTATATGACGGTTTGCTATTTTCCTTTGTACATTTTTTTAATGATGCATGGACATATGTTTATAAACATCTAAATAATATTTATATTTTTTTTCTATTACATTATTTTATCTATAACATTTATAACTTTTTTTTCTCATTATCTATCATTTAATGTTTGAAGTGTTTATGAATTACTTTTTTATATTTAAAAAGATATTTTGGTCAGGTTCAGATATATAGGGGTTGTCATTTTTAAAACTGCACCCATCATTTGATCAATTGTACGTACATTCATATACTGAAATTTGAAAATTTTAATTTAATTTAAAAAATATTTTTTCACAACCATTTTTTTTTATATATTACAGATGACTGTGAAAAGGAATTATATATAAAAAATAAGTTGTAGAAACATCATTACTTTTTTTCATATATTCACTTTTTTGTTTTTGCTTTGAATAAAGTTACATGAGATTCCATGTCGACCATTTCTTACAACCATGATCTCCAAACTTCTTACAACAAGTAACTTCGATGACATCTAGGTTTCGTAGTGATCCATATAAAAAAATTAGTACAAAGTAATAATTTTTTATTTAATAATAAATAGAAAATATAACTTCTTACAGTAATAAATATAAAATTTGTTTTCTATTATATGAGTTAAAAATATAAAAAAATGTTATTTTATAAAATTAACATCATTTAAATAAATTATTATTACATTTTATACATACAATTTTAATATATATATATATACACTCATTATTATTTTAATAAAATATCATAAATATGGAAGTAATCATAAAAATAAAATGAAGAACTCTATATATTTATTTATAATATAATATAATATAATATTATTTTATTTTATTTTATTAATTTTATTTTAAATAATTTTAGAAAAAAATAATTTTATAATAAAAATATTTTATAATTATATATTAAAGTATAGTTATTGAAAAAAATAAGATATATAATTTAAAGATATTATTTTATTAATTAAAAATCAGTTAATGATCTTATGATAATTATATAATTAAATAAATATTTAATTTTAGTTTAATTATTTATAATTGTTTAAGATAAATATTTCCTTTTTTATATAATTTTTTCTTAAATAAATAAAAATAATTTCTACTTTGTTTTTTCCTCCTACTTTGTTTCACCAAACATACTCTTCCTATTTTAATATTATTTATACTATTAATAAAGGATATATATTATTCTGTATTTTTATAAAAAAGTTATTTTCTATAATATAGCTTTTTTTACTATAATATTTTTTTTAATTTTTTATTCTTTAAATAAAAAAATTTATTTTTTTGATCAGGGAGTATCACGAGAACCTTAATTCATATGAAGCTACATTTGTTATTTAAGAAATACTTTACCTATTACGGCTTTGCACAAATATTTTTTTTATATCATTTTTATTTATCTTCTTTTGTTTATTTGTTTTTTTATCACCTAAAAAAATACAAAAATAACAAAAATATTATCTTTTAAGCTTTATAATTATTTATATTTTTTTATAAATATTGTTTTATATTGTATTTCTTGGATCCCCTGATATTCTTTCCCTAATCTTCTGCTTCACTTGTTTGCTTTCTCATTTATTATCTTTTTTTTTTACAATTTTTTTATTTAAAAAAAATTAATGGACAGTACACACCGTCTACAGTTTTACTAAACTATAAAACAGCTCTGATAATACACACAAAGTTTTTTATAATATAACTTTTTTTACTATAATATTTTATTTTTCTTTAAATTTTTTATTCTTTAAATAAAAAAATTTATTTTTATTTAAAAATACTAAATACCCACCAAAATATTTCTAGATATAATATTCACGAGAATACGATCCCTCAATGTTTTTTACCAATTCTAAAACACATTTTAAAAATGGTAAGTACTTAGTTACAATTAAATTTTATTCTTTAAAAAAAAAAAAACACTGATGTGTCCTTTCTTCAACTGTATGTAATAATTAAAATACTGGTCCACCATGCAGCATTTAAATCACCCTCCATGGCAAATAAAGTCAAGACCTGAGGCATATTAACCTAAAGGGTTATCTCTCTTTCAGACTATGACAATTAAATGATGAAGTTTACTCCATATACCATTATAGCATTGGACAGTGCAATTTTCGTCGTTTCTTACCTCTTTCTCTTCAGCTGCTATGAGGCTTCTTACTGTCACTGTAAAATCCAAACACAGTTGGCGGGAAAAAACGCCATTGAAGAAACTCAAAGTCAGAGCAAGCTCCAATCACATTTCCTGCAAGTCCTGTGCAGTAGGCGACCAACTCAAGGTATAACAATCAAACTCACTAGCTTCAACGGTTTCTCTAAATAATAAACAAATATCTTAATATATATATATATATATATATATATATATATTTCAGTTCCACTAACCGTTGAAATGGCGAAGCCGGTGACGAATCCTTTGTATCAAAGCTCTCCTCCAACAATGGAAGAGGTATTATATTATCAACAACATAGCATCTATTTTATTGTTTTTTTTTTTTTTTTCAAATTCTAATTCGTTTGTTGGTTCAATCGCATGAGAACCTTATTATAGATCGAGATATTGGAGTCCACTCCAAAGGCAGATCTAGAGAACCTTGACGAGTTGCTCCAGGAGGAGAACTTCTACTTGAATATCGAGGTAGGCAACCGATTCATTAATTTGATTCTTCTGGAGTTCATGAATTTTGAAGCGGTAGTTTTGTTATTTTGATTTGATTCATTAATTTGTTGAATTTCGATGGTAGAAAGGAGAACAAGGACGATTACCGGTGTTGATTTTGAAGTTGAATCAAAGCAATAAGCAGAAAAAAAAACCCTGCGGTTGTTTTTCTTCACAATTCCTACAGTAACAAAGAAGCGTTGCGTCCACTGCTTGAGGTTGCTTGCACCACAACGTCTTCTCTGCTCCACTCGATTAGTTATTCTTCACTTGCAATTATTTGTACTGTGCTGCTGTGTGATCATTTTATGATTTGATTGGATTATCATATCGGATTTTCTTTAGGCGTATGCGTCGCGAGGTTATATAGCAATTTCCGTTGATTCTCGTTACCATGGAGATCGTGCCACCAACACAACCACCTATCGCGATGTATGTTTTGCTTCCTATTCTATTCCCTATCGGGCTTTTTACCTGCACAATTTTATTTCTTTTAAGTTCAACTGAGAGAAGAGATTTCATTAAAAATAATTCATCAGATTTTTGTAAAGAAATTAGTTATGAACAAAGTTTAATAAATATAATATAAAAAAGTTTGAATTGTATTTCAATTACTGCACTCTATATATTTCAAACTATGTAATTTATTGTAGGATTGGAATGAAGGAGAGAGAGAGGGGAGGAACAGAAGAGAAATTGGGAACGAGAGAAGATATTTTTTTTTTAGTTTTCTCACAGTCATATTTTTACGTATTTCGTAATATTTTTCATAAAAAAAAAAGAGAAAAAAAAAACTCGTTGGTTTTTTTAAAACAATCAGATTCTCTTCTAAAAAAAAGGAATAAAATCAGATCCTAATTCCTTTTCTCCCAGTTCTGAACCACCACTAGAATCTATTCTATTTTTCTTGAATGAAATTTCTTAAATATTATTGATCCTATTCTTTTCTATCTATTCGCTACTTTCTACTTTTACATATCCATCTTATTTCTCAATATTCTCTACCTCGAACTTGTTTGAATTACAATTCACTTTTTTTTTTATTTTTTTTAACTACGCTGTCCCTATAGTTTACTCGTTTACACATTGAAAAATAAATGAAGTTTCATGGCTGCACCAACTTTTTAATCCTCTTCATTTTGTACTAGTGGAAAGACATGGCTGTGTCTGTTTATTCATATTTTTATTTATTTTGTAGATATATTGAAAGGAAAGGAGAAGAAAATTAATGGTTTAAACATAGAGAAAGTTAAACAAAAAGTGGAAGTGCATTATTAAAAGTTATAGATAGGAAAGAGGTGAAAACGGAAGGAACAATTAATTTATACAGATATAAATATACAGTTTAAGGGTAATTTAGAAAGATATTGTTGCGAACCAAAATTTCCTGGAACCTATTATTACAATAGAAAAAAAAACACGGTTGTTTAGCACTATTTAATAATAAAGAAATGAGTGAGATAGATTTATAGCGATTGATTGAAGAATTATTTTGTCAACATTGTTGTGATTAAAGTTCGTTTAATTATGTGTAAAAAATAATCCTTTTATTACAACTTATTTTAAAAAATAATAATTTGTTTTAATTTTCCATCTGTTTGTTTCAGTTTTTCAAAATAAATGAATTTTAAAGAATGCATCATCTGTTTTTCAAAATAAATGTTAAAAAAAAAGAACATTAATCATCTGCTTTTAAAAAAATAAAAATTAAACTGTTATGATTCTAAACAGACATGTAGTAATTTATGCTTTTTTAAAATCTCTAAAAAAACATTATTAAAATATTTTATACTAAAATTACTTCCTTTTAAATCTATACTAGCCTTAATTAGGGTGAATTATGGTAATTAAACTGTAAAATAAAAAATCCTTAAAAAAAGGGTAAATAGGTTTTAAAAAGATAAAAAGTAAATGGAAGCATGGCCTTATCTTGATAAACTTATTCAAATATTTATTTTACCGGAAAAATTTTAACAACTAACAACATATAGTTATATGTAGACAAATTAAGAGGAGACATTATATATATATATATATATATATATATATATATATATATATATTGATGGAGAATTCTATTTATTTTAGGAGATATTTATTTTCTAACTAGAACTCTTTTTATAAATGAAAAAATTAATACAGATTAAACATTACGTGAAATAATATGTCCTTAAAAGTTTGTTATTATTCTGTTCGTATTTTCCTCATAAAAGAGAAGAAATGAACTATTTTGCGTACATATTTTACCCGCGATCATTCTTAAAGTGAAAAAATATTAACTACATAAAATTCAAAACTGATAATGTTTTCTTTCACTTTGTTTTGGCCACAAACCTCCCTTAAAAAAATACACAGGCACTTATTTCTGCATGGAAAACCGGTGAGACCATGCCATTCATATACGACACGGTAACGTATTATTTATCGTGCAGCTTTCCAGTATATAGTTTAGATGGAGCCACTTTATGCTCGAATGATTTGTTTCAACAGTGACAGTTTAAACTCATGATTAATTTTGTTTAGAAATTACTCCTTGATCTGGCAGGTCTGGGACTTGATTAAATTGGCAGATTATCTAACACGGAGGAAGGATATATACCCTTCTAGGATAGGAATTACTGGAATATCACTTGGAGGTAGGTTGACAGTTGTTGAAAGGAGTATGTATGTGTTAGGATCGAGCGCTTACCACTAGGCCAAAAGCTATAGCCATTAGTCAGAGCGCAACTCTTTTTACTTAAGAGTAACAGCCCAAGCGCCACGATTTGATTGTGACTCGGCCCACCCGGCCTCTGCCACAGGACAATTGATGCTACCTGCAACAGTATGATGGCATGTTTAATATGACTCATCACTTTATAATTCTTTGATGCAGGAATGCATGCGTGGTTTGCTGCATTTGCTGATACTCGCTATGCTGTGGTTGTTCCTGTGATTGGCGTTCAGGTAGCATTGAATCATTGACTGAAGCTTTCATTAGCCAAATGTGCTTATGAAACAAAACTTTGAAAACTTCTATGGTAAATGCTTACAGGGATTTCGATGGGCCATAGACAACGATGAATGGGAGGGTCGAGTTGAGGCTATAAAGCCTCTTTTTGAGGGTAAGATGATAATGTCAAAATAAGATTTTGAGTTTTATTTATGTTTTACCATTTTATTTTTTTATCTTTTCTTTAGTTAATGCTTGTACTTCATTTTGGTTTATATAATATTAGGAATTATTATTCGCATAAATCCATAATCTTGTACCTACCAGTTTGTATATGCGGCGCATGTATTTCATATGCAACATCAAATGAGTAAGGCTACAAGGGAATATAAATAAATAATGTACAGTAGGGGTACTGTTCATTCAAGCATTCTAAGAGTGGACAAAGTGAACTTATATTCTGAAGGTACTTCGAATATATGCATCCTAATCCGCTTAGGTTTATGGATGCAGTGGCTCGTGATGATATGGATAAAGATGCCATTGACAAAGAAGTGGTGGAGAAGGTCAGCCAAGAATTTATGAATCCAACTATGATATATTTCGCCTCCAAATGAATTGTGATATGCTTTGATTTATGGCTTTAACATGATTGACATGACAATTCTTAGTAGCTTACGTATGCCACAATTGCTAGTTATTCACTCAATGGACACAATTTCTATCTAGACCTTTGTTCTTGTTATTCTAGAGTGTTTGCAAGGGATAGTTTGTATTGATGACAGAATTTTATATTTCTAGGTATGGGACCGAATTGCTCCGGGTTTAGCTTCCCAATTTGATTCACCCTATTCACTTCCAGCTATAGCACCCCGTCCTTTGCTTATTCTTAATGGTAAGACCTTTTGTATGTATTGTATATTAAACATTATCGAATCTGGCTCTATAGATACATTATCAATAGCATCATACACCTCTGCATCCATCCGTATTAGTCAGTTAGTTATCCATTTCAGGTTTTGTTGATTTTTAAAAGCTATAACTTCGAATTGATATTGATTGGGTTTTGGGAACTCTAGTTGCGGAAGATTCTCAGTGTCCTCTTGGGGGCTTGGAAATTCCAAGAGCAAAGGCAAGCCAGGCATACAGAAAGTTTAACTGTTTAGATCATTTCAAGGTATGTTGTATTGTTTAGAACTGTGAAGCATGGGTCTTCCAAGACCATGCCGTACCAACCCGTATTTCGATACTCGTGAGTACTTACCCAATATATAACAGAAATATTTACAATAACTGTGTATTGTATTTCATTTGGATACATATACAGACATTTTTTAGGTACATTTTGGACAATTTTCAAAAAGATGAAATTTTCAAATAGTGGATCAGACCTTGACCAATTTGATTCTTTATAAGATAAATGGGGGTTATAGTGTTGCAAATTTTAGGCTCTAATAAACTGCATTGAATTAACTCTTTCATAACTATAACCCTGTGAGAAGAATTAGAACACATATCCATTTATTCATTCTATATAAAAAGAAATATTAATCTTAAAAGAACTAAAGGTTTAGTCTTTATATATTCAATTTTTTGTTTATTCTAAAAAAAAAGCTATAAAAACATATAAAAGTAAAATATGAAAAATTGGTGGAGATAAATGAGATCTACATAGTTAAAGGCACTGAAACTTTTGAAGTTTGTTACACTTTCTCTTATCGAACCATTTGAAAGAATTATTTTCAAAAACGACAAAGATGAAAGTGATATAAGATTAAAAATGGTCAAGTGTGAAATTCATGTTTCTAGCTATTTATTATATAAGATATGTTTCGGTTTGATTTCATGTTACATTATAAATTATGATTATTTATGTTTCTACCATTTATAAAATTTTATCAGGTTTATAGTCAATTATATTTTCTTTATTTATATATATATATATATATATTAAAAATAATTATATTATCATTTCCGTATCCCAAATTGAAAAAAAAAATAGTATCTTCTATTACCGTATCTGAAATCGATACGTAGCCACATCCATACAACATATAGGTCACTTTGGTCAGAATTTAAACTTGCCATTGTGATTGTGATCATCCGTAATCACTTTAATAAGAATGGGTTTAAACATGCAATTTTCCGATTTAATCAAGCATTTTATAAAATACCTCCCAATCTCTCGTATTAAAAGTGGAAAGGACGATCTTCTCATGTGATATTTTTATTTAGTGAAATCTTATAATGTAAAAATGATTAAGACAATTTTAATAATAATAAAAAATTATTTAGAGTATTGATGGTAGAGATTTTGATTGAAGAAAATCCAAATGAAAATCCCATCTAAGAAGATCCATTCGGGTGTAGCCTCAAATTGGATGTGAATGTTAAAACTAAATGGGCTGTCTGTTGTGGATTATTTTTAGGGTATGTTTGGAAATAAGTTTTGAAGGGAAAGGAAAGATAAGAAGTTTAGGTTTAAATTAGTAGTGTTAATGATATGTTACTTTAAGTTTCTGATTGCTTGCTTTGACATGCAGTTTATTGCAGAACCTGTAATTGGACATCAAATAACGAGATTTCAGATGAAAGAATCAGCTGATTGGTTTGACAGGTTCTTTATACCCTTAGCTTGTGCCCTCCCTCAGATTTCTTATTTTATCTTCGTGCCCTGTGTGGCTGTAAAATTCGAAACCAACTTGCTGTAAAATAAATTATTTATAGATAATAAATAATATCACATAAAATAACAAATAATATCACATATATTTTTTTTATAAATATATATATATATATATATATATAAATTCAAATTACTATAGATATTAAATTTTAACTTATTTAAATGAAATGATGTGGTAGAAAAAACACTAATACATATGTGATACGGTCATAGAATGCATATGTTTTCATTAGTATATTTCACTCTAAATTATTGCTATTAACGATAAAGTTTCCATCAAGTCTCACTCATCTATAAAAAAAAATACGATTATAAATTTTAACATGTATTCCATATAATTATTATGGGAAATTCTTAAAAAAAAAAGTAATTAGCACATTTTCGTAAAATAAAAATTTTAAAATTATATTTAATTTTTTAACTATGATTTTATTATAGTTGTAGTCATACAACAATCAATTGTTATTATATGTGGAAAATACTAACCGTGTAACTCTCCTCTTATATCTTTATATATCCTAATTCGATTATTCTCTTTTTTTTTTCTTTTTCTTTTTTTTAGTCTTTTTCTTCTTGAAGGGTTTCTCTATCGTACATATTTTAAATACACTCAAAATTGTCACGAAGGGAAATAATAATGAAAGATAATATTGTTGATATAGAAATAAAAGATAATATTTGACTGGAGCATGCATTGAGGTTGTATTAGAAACGTAATAATTAGGAAACATTAAAAGTTTTTAAATTTGGTGTGGTGAAACAATAAAGAAGCAATAAAATCTTATAAGTTTGTTGCTGGCATAAAGAAATAGTAAAAACTAGTAGTTTTGTGACAGAGAAATAAGAAGGAGAAAACTTTTAAATTTATTACGAAAGAGCATCAAAACAAAATAAAAGTTTTGACATATAATAACAATTATAAATGCAATAGTTATTATTTAATTAATTTATAATGATAATAATTAATTTTATTAACTTTTTAATAAAGATGATTAAAAATTATCCGTATATATTATAGGTAATAGTGTCAATCACTCTTTACTTTAAAAAGAGAGATTTAATTATATGTTGTTTCTAGATATAAGATAAAAAAAATTGTTTTCTTTCAAAAGAAAATTACAATACACTTTAACATTCTTACTCCTAAAATGAGAGATGTTTAATATATATATATATATATATATATATATATATATATATATATATCTTAAAATTCTTATTTAATAATAATAAATATGATAATTTAAGATTTTATTGTTATATTAATAAAAAAATTGTCACGTAATTATTGTACAAGAAAGAATTGTTATTATTAAGGAGAATATCAACATATATATATATATATATATATATATATATATATATATATATATATATATATATATATATATATATATATATATATATATATATATATATATATATATATATATATATTATCTTCGACCACCTAATATTCCATTTTATCCTATATGATAATAGTTGTGAGATGGAGATAGGGAATCTTGTGTGGTCCTTTTATTATTTTATGTTTTCTTTCCTATTAGGAGTTATGTGTTGTATTCTAAAAAAAAAAATCTTTTTTAAGGATTTAGGCCTGTATTAGTGGAGCAAGATAAGTATTCTATAATGTACTATAACTCACTTGCGCCATTAGTATATACAACTTCTTGATGGTGGATGCAACTTGTTCACTCTAAAATAACTCATCTTTAATAGTTTAAGCATTGCTTTATAGCTTTAGAGTTATTGATGTGTTATAATATTAAAAATGGAAGCACCTGAATGATAAAGAGTAATCCATTTGTTACACATAGAATTGCATAGAAACAGCCCCAATTGATTTTAACAATGGTGTAAAGAATCAACCAATCCTTCATTCATTTATATATAATCAACGATTGAGTGGATTGGTCAGTTTGAGTGATTGATTGTGGAAATGAAAGTTACAGTAGTTTTAATGCCATTCTAATTATGATAATACAAAAAATGGAAAGTTTATATAACATTTAAGTAATCTCTGGTACAATTCATTTGATTTTTAGTGATAATTTCCATTCTATTAACCTAAAGTGTAATGGCAATGATAATGCATTAATTGTAGAGACCAGATATAGAGTAGTTTTCATGGTAAATGAGTCATTATTGTGTGGGAGAGAGTTGAGAATTGAGGTAGACATAATAAAGGTTGATAAGATGATAGGTGAGGAATTAAAGAATGACAAGTCAAAATATCGTCACAACAAAATATGATAATTATTACACGTATTGTTTTGTAGTTCAAAATTTAATAAATATTATAAAATTCACTATCTGATAATAATTAATTATTTTAGTATTTTTGGAATTAATGCTTTAATATCGCTTATAACAATTATTAAAATATTTCTATAAAAGAGCAATATTACAGTATAAATAACTTCATCAAAAATTACTGCTTTAGGCATGAACTAAGAAAAATAATGAAACAATAAAAGAATAAATGAGATATGAAACTTTTCATGATGATAAATGAGAGTTATTGAGAATTGAAGTAAACATAATAAAAGTTGAAAAGACTATAGGTGAGGAATTAAAGAATGACAAGTCAAAATTATATATTAATGATTTTAGAATTATTGCTTTAATATCTCATAGAACAAGGAGTCAAAGATTATTACAAAAAGAGCCATGTAATTAAATCCGCCCATAACCTTGGTTCATTAGATAGATGCTCTAATTTTAAATAAATTTGTTTAAGCATGAACTAAGAAATAAACCTTGGTTCATTAGATGTTTCAGATCGTGTTTCTTTTTAAGTTGATCACAAAGATTTTTTTTTTTCTCTTTTACCCCATTATTTCTAATTTGATGGCAATCTTATTTATTTATTATCTTCTTTTTTATATAATTTTATTATTCAACGAGAATGTTCAGTCAGTCACACAGTCTCAAACATATTTTTCATGCATGAAGTGGTATTCCACCACCTTGGACTGAAAACTATAGTTCTATAAAGTACTAGTAAGAGTTGTATTTTTGCAAGTGTATTTTCAAACCGTGCCTGATGATGAAGTTTCGAGTCACTTTTCATTGGATCCCGTCCCGCTCATTACTGTAAAGTGTAAACAAACACACCATCAATTTCCCTTTTTTGTCATTGTCGAACAATGCAGAGAAGAAGGATCCAAGAACTCTCTTAAATTTGTATTTGATCTGATAATAAGTCACGAACTGAAACTTCGTTCCAAATCGATGTTAATGTCACAATGATCCTCCTTTTTTCATTTCCTCTCCATCTTGTCATATATATTCAACAGAAAAAGTGATTTTCCCTCTTCACACGCCAACGTGTCGTGAATTAATTAATAAATGATGTATTTCTCAGGATCAAAATGATTCTTGTTCTTAATTACACCCATTCAACAGGGTTAACGTGATTCTTAAGCATTGAATCGACATAAATGGTAATCTCCAAAACATTCAATTAAATGAATATTTTAATTAATTAATTAATAACATAAATTTTTATTGTGTTTAAAAAGTTGGGAAAAAGTAAAAGGATAAGGATACGAGAAAGACGACTTGTCCGTACCACCATAGCAGCTGGAAAGCAAGAGAGGAAAATGATGAAAGTCGCGAGTCCGCTCCCAACTGGGCACGTGCGAATCCTGTTGAGCCACACGTGCCTCCGACATTCAATAATTTCAACCAAACCGCGAAAGTCACGTCATTATTATAAACTCGAAACGCATGGGGAAGTAGAACCATCGCAACCTCACTCGCACAGCAAATTCCAAACTACAATGGCGAAAAAAGAAGGCATTGATGAAGCTCAGAGCGAGTTTCGATCGAAGTTCCTTCAAGTACTTCGTAGTAGACGACCAGCTCAAGGTATGAACAATCAAATTTCACTCATTAACTTTCACAATCTCGCTCTGTACTGTGCAACGATTCGTTTACTTGAGTCTCGTTCTTATATACGATGCTTCAGTTCCATTAACCGTCGAACTTGCGAAGCCAGTGGCGAATCCTTTGCATCAAAACTCTCCTCCAACGAAGGAAGAGGTATTGTCATTATTGACATTCGTAGCGTTTTTTGCTTCTTTTTTTATTTATGTGTTTATTTATTTTCAATCTGTACTTAATTGACTGGTTCAATCACCTGAAATTATAGATCCAGATAATGGAATCGTGTCCGAAGGCTGATACAGAGAACCTTGAAGGGTTGCTTGAGGAGGAGTACCTCTACTTGAATATAGAGGTAGGTAACTGATTAATTCAATTTCTCCGGAGTTGAATGTTGAATCAATAATTTTGTTGTTCTGATTTGATTTTGTGCTCGAGAGATAAACTCGATGATTTTGGACCGCAGGAAGGAGAGCAAGGACGGTTGCCGATGTTGATTTTGAAGTTGAAGGAAAGCGATAAGCAGGGAAAAAGGCCTGCAGTTGTTTTTCTTCACAGTACGAACAAATACAAAGAATTAGTGCGTCCATTGCTCAAGGTTGCTACTGCGTCTTCTCTTTTTCATCCATTCCATCGGTTATTTTTCATGTATTATAAATTTATTACAATCGCGAATTTTCTTTATGGCTTCGGCTCATGTTCTTCTTCTTCGGGTTTTAGGCGTATGCTTCGTGGGGATATATAGCAATTTCGGTGGATTCTCGTTGCCATGGAGAACGTGCCACATGCGCAAACACCTACCAAGATGTACGTGTTTGTTTGTTTGCTTGCTTTGCTCTGCCTTACTATTAGGTTCAGACCTCTTGGTGAATAGCGCACTTCTATTTAGGGAAAAGTTTTAGCATGAACTCATATAAATGCTTTATTTGATACAACAAATTTAGGAATTGATTTGATTTTGAAATCATTTTAATTTTAGGCTGTGGTAACTCTAATTCTGTTGGATTTTATTGCAATTCAGTTTAAATTATTTAACTATGCTGCTCTTATTTTTAGTTACAATACAGAATTTGGCCAGTAAATTAATTCAAACGACTTTTTAAATGAATTCCAAACATAATAGTTGGGTTACTACATCAAATGGAATTTGTATGTCAGTTATTTGCCTTGAAGAATAATGGTTAAGCTTTAGGAGAACTAATTTGTCTAAGAAAAATGTTTTTCTGTTTCTTGTGTTGTCCATATAAAAAGAAATGGACTCTCTTTTGCTTACCATTTACCCGATATCACTCGGAAAGTTAAAAATAGGTCATCTATATAAAATTAAAACTGACCATGTTTTCTTTTACTTTTGTTTTGGCTGCAACCTACCATACAAAAAATTCACAGGCACTTGTGTCTGCGTGGAAAACGGCTGATACGATGCCATTCATATATGACACGGTAATTTATTATTAAATTTAATGATTATGCACTGTCATAATATTATTAAAATTATTGCCTGTATTGGTTACTTAAAAGATTGGGTAGTTATTATCTTATACTTATTAGTTTGTGATTAGATAACTGTATAAACTGTTCATATTATAAATATAATCTATTTCTATTATTTATCGTGCAACTTTACCATATATAGTTAAGAACTTCATTGGATGTTTTTGGATCATTCTTTTTCTGGAATATAGTTAAAGACGGAGTCACTTTATAGAAATTTTTTAGGTCAAACCTTTTTTGGAATGTCAAAATGATAATCCGGAATGGAAAAAGTAATCAAAATGTTTGGAGTGGGAGTTGGTCCAGAATATTTCCATTTGGATGCAATCAGCCTCGTTATAAATTCTTTATTTATTTTTTTCATATAATTGTTGTGGAACTTGTATTTACTCAATACACTCTATGCTCCAAACTGATTTGTTTCAACTGTCGTTGTGGCAGTTTAAGCTTATAATTTGTTCGGTTCAGTAATGGTGTATTATTCCTTGTTCTGGCAGGTCTGGGACTTGATTAAATTGGCAGATTATCTAACACAAAGAGAGGATATAGACCCTTCTAGAATAGGAATCACCGGAATATCACTTGGAGGTTGGTTGAGAAGTTGAAAGGAATATGTTAGACGGCATGTTCAATGTGATTCATATCTTGTATAATTCTTTGACGCAGGAATGCATGCATGGTTTGCTGCAGTAGCTGATACTCGCTATGCTGTGGTTGTTCCTCTGATTGGCGTTCAGGTGGCATTGAATGAAGCTTTTGTTTAGTCAAATAAGTTTCTGAAACAACGATTTGAAAACTGTTTTGCTATATGATTGCAGGGGTTTCGATGGGCCATAGACAACGATAAATGGAAGGGTCGAGTTGAAAGTATAAAGCCGCTTTTTGAGGGTAAGATAATGTCAATGGAGTTTTTGAAATTTCTTTAATATAATATTAAAATTATTATTCATGTTAACTCCTGTAATGTTGGACCTGCCTGTTTATTATATATGGGGCACATGCTGTATGATTTCATTTGCAACATCTAATAAATTCTTAAATTTGATAGAGGTATTTTACAATTGTTTATTTAAAATAGATTGCCTACGGATTAAATTACATGGTGGTCCCTTCGAGGATAACCGGTAAAACTACATGGTGAAGTGAGAACGGTGTTTGAGTAAGACCTAGAAGGGAAAATATATTAATAGTACACAATAGGAGTACTAATTCATTCAAGCAAGCTAACAGTATATAACTGAATATATATTCTGAAGGTACTTTAGTACCCCTAATGTCTTGGGTTCATGGATGCAGCGGCTCGAAATGATTTGGGTAAAGATGTAATTGACAAAGAAGTAGTGCAGAAGGTCAGCCATGTTTTTATGTAATCAACTCTGATTCTGTCTACAAATGAATTGTTATATGCTTTGATTTATTGCTTTTAAAAAGACATGATTGACAATGCTAGGTACCATGGTACTTATTGCTAGTTTATTCACCCGCGGGGCACAATTATCATCTAGAGCTTTGTTATTGCTATTATAAACTGTTGGCACTGGATATTATATACTGATCAGAGTTTTATATTCCTGATCAGGTATGGGACAGAATTGCTCCAGGTTTAGCTTCCCAATTTGATTCACCCTATTCAATTCCAGCTATAGCACCACGTCCATTGCTTATTCTTAATGGTAAGACATTTATCATTGTCATTTCAACTTGGCTACCTTATTCAAATACAACTTCATCTATCTATTCAGAGTAACCACACTGCTGCAAGAGGTTTTTGCTTCTTTAGTGTGCGCGCTCCTGTGTATGTGTGTGTGTATATATATATATAGGGCAGTGATAAACAGTCTTGTTTATCGAACACCCTCCCTACGTCCTTATTTTGTTCATTTAGATTTTGTGAATATTTTAAACTAACATCTAATTGAAGCATTTGCTTGGGTTTTGGGAACTCTAGGTGCCGAAGATCCTCGGTGTCCCGTTGAAGGCTTGGAAGTTCCAATGTCAAAGGCAAGCCAGGCATACGAAGAGTTTCAGTGTTTAGATAATTTAAAGGTACGGACTGGTCATAATAAAAGTAAGAATGTAGATTTAAGAATGACTTAATCTTGCAAAAACTTGCATCTATACACTTTATTTTAGTTATATATTTTAAACGATGTGAAATCTTCACGATACTTTGAAACTTTTTAAGTACAAGATTAGATATTTACGAGCAATTTGATAATAACATATATGTTCAATAAATCTTCCCAGAATAGATATGAATACTCAGTCCTTGCATTACATCCCATACGTTCTTGTATCACCTCCTATTCATTTTGAAATATAAAGAATAAATTTTATTTTACAATGAACAAGAGATGGTGAAGAAATTTGTAGAAATGTAAGAAGATATAACCTAAGTTATGTTATGAGAACTCAGCAGGGTGTTTGGTTGGTTGAGGATTCTGTTTGGGTATTGTTTGGAAATATGTTTAGGGAGGGAATGAAAGAGAAATGTTTTAGTTTAGTGTTGAGGGGGGGTGTCAATTGATTGGTTTCTTGTTTTGGTCTAAGTTTGTGATTGGTTGTTTTTACATGCAGTTTATTGCTGAACCTGGAGTTGGACACCAATTAACTAGATTTCAAGTGAAAGAATCATTGGATTGGTTTAATAGGTTTTTGAAACCTTAGCTGTTGCCTTCAGACGTGTTATCAAGGCCTGTGTAGTTGTAAATTATAAACCAGCTTGCTGCGGCTCATTGCTTCATTGTTGTCTTTCTGTTTTTAAGTAATTGTAAAACATTACTCCGTTTGGTTTTAGTCTTTATAATAATAGTTTTTAATTTTAAATTTCTAATATTTTCTAATTGTCATTTTTTTTCTGGTCATTAATTATAGTTAGTTTAAAATTTAAATATTAAGGTAATAAATAATATTTTAAATTATGATAATTACATTTTTAGGCACATAATTTTATTAATACATTATTTCTTCAAATAAATACGGTAATTATATATATATATATATATATATATATATATCAAAAAATTACTTTTTAACATTCTATTTATTTTGGAAATAAATATAATATAGTTTTTATTTTATATCATGGATATAGAGTTTATTATATTTTTAATTAAACTCATTATAAAATACTTTTTACTATATCAGAGAGATTTTATTTCTAAAGATAAAATGAAAAAAATATATTATTTTTAGAATCATCTGAAAAAAGAAGAGTATTCAAAGCCCGTTCACATACTAAATAAACGTAATTCCGCTGATTAATCCAGCGCGTTTATGATGATGCTTAGGACTAAAATTATTGCAATTGTCCAGCACCGCATGATACTTAGGACTCGAACTAACAAACGCAAGCTCAAAATCAGGCTTCGTAACACTGAAGCAATTAAGGGATTATTTTAATATATATTTGAGCTCGATTTCGGCATGAATCCAGCCAAATATGCGAAGTCATACACGCTGTACAAGTCACTACAAGTACATTAACACACATCATGCACACAATGAATATCATGTCTTAAAACGTATACAATTCAAACAAATCAATATTTGAAGAACTGCTTTATCTACCGCTAACTTGTTACCTAGACAAACATGAGAAACAATCTAAAATCATTCAGCCTTTCTTTGACATTGCTGCAAGTCTTGTGTACATTCTTGCCATGGATTGGTAGCCTCTAACGTCACCTGAACGCAGAAGATTGCCTGTAACAATAAACAACATGAGTGGCAGAAAAAAAAAAAAACTTTCATCCTGGTCAACACCATTAGAAGTTTTCCATCCTCACCTATGTTAGTATTAGAAGGGAAAAAAGGAATGAAGGTATAGATTTGGAATGAGTTGATAGCTTAAGGATTTAAAGTTCATTATTTTGCCAACGATATCAATAAATCCTAGAATTTCTCAATAATACCAAAATGCTATATTGTAGATAGTTTTAATCAACAACAAATTTCTAGAAATATACATGTAAATTCAAACTTCACATTCAATTAAAGATAACAAATGAAACATTAGATTCTAGTGCACCCCAACCCTTCCCATCCATTCTCTCAAGCACAATTGATGTGCATGTGTATTGATGAGCATGTGGATGTATACAATAGTTAATTGGCGCATCTTTTGCATTTTTTCAATCCTCAAATCCAATCTCAACTTGGTCCCATAATCAAGGCAAAGTAAACTACAACAGGGTATAATATGAATTCAAGTTTCTTTCTTGTCATTTGGGGAAGAGGTAGGAGAAAAACCTTCCTTTTGAATCACACAACTAGAGATAAAGGATAAAACAATATAAAGTGGAGAAAGTTTGTCAACCTGAATCACAGTTTAGAGGGCTGTCAGGCTCTGGATGGGCCATCAAAGCAATTATAGCCCTGCAGACAGATTGAAGTGTCCAAGCTGGGCTCCAAGCGTTTTTCAAGATATCTAGACAAATCTCCCCAGTCTGGAAAATTACCAGAAGTTTAACCCATTGTCATGAAGAAATGTTAAGAATATCATATCCAATAGAAAAGCAAAAATAATGGATCAGGCAATTAAGCACAAACACTCGTCATTTATAAAGTAACATACGAGCACTAAAGTATTTTCATGATAGAAGTGGCAGAATATTTCCATTTCAATTCAACACTGATGGTTTGTAGCAGGGCGACAAGATTATAAGGTGACAACCTTTTTATTTCCCATTCATTCCACATGCAAACAACTATTAGTGTTCATTTGATGCCCGGAATAGGAAATGAAATTGGAGTTTGGATTCAGAATTATGACATTTGCAAGTTCATCTATAATTATAACGACAATTCTAAAGTTCAATTCCATGGAATTGTAATATAATTAATTGGGCCGAAAATTTCTCAATTCCGAACCTCTACCCTACAAATTGCAATTCATAAATTCATTCTCATTATTCAGGTGTTCTCCCCATCTATGTTGCTCCAGCTACCACCTATCAATGTCATCACCACCCTTAATCACAATCCCTACCACCAATTGCTGCCATGGTGCAACCCCCTTGCCCCACTGCCACTACTCCAATCACTGTTGTTGTCATTGGCATTACAACCATCAACGATGATTCCTAATGTGTCCCCTCCACCACCTCTGTTTTTGCAACATCATCACAGTCATTGATACCATTCCCATTGATAACCCTGCCACTCCCCTACCATCACTGGTCACCATTGTTGCCACCACATCAATCGCCAATACCACCAACCACACACTTCTGTAGCTACTGCTACCATCTCCACCACCTCTTCACCCCCATCATCATAATCTTACCAATAACTACCCCGAGTTAAATAGATATGTTAAAAAAAAAAATGAAATCAAACATAGAGTTATAATTCTAACCTCTAATTCCTTAAACAATCCAAACATAGGAATTAGAATTCCAAACCAAAAAGAAGAGAAATTGAAATTACAAGTTTGAATGCAATTCCAATTCCATGAACCAAACTAATCAACAAATATTTATTAGTCGAGGCATCACTTGGAAAAACTCAGAAAAACCATTCATCTCTGAGAATTGCAAAAATAAAAATTAGGACAACTCAGAAGTCAGAAATCCTAAAGTTGCTATTCCTAAGTTAAGGTACCAGTATAAGAATAAAAGGTTTACAGACAGATGCATCCTACCTTAAAGTGAACGTTTGGATGAAATATTTTAGTCAAAAACCGGACTTGCGGCGGCTGTAGAGGATACTGCTCTGGAACAGAAAAAGCAAGCTGGAAAACACCACCTTCGTATGGAGTCTCGGAGGGACCCTAAATAAAAAAAAAAGAAAAAAAAAAGAAAAAAGAAAATGTAAGAATCATCGCAAACAGATCGCAAAAGTACTGGGTACTACTCAGCATACCTTGACAAGAGCCGTCCATTTAAAAATGTTAGATTCATCACAGACTAGTTGAATATCAGGATCAACAGCCTTTTCTCGCTGCACCTCTTTGTACTCCTTGAACAACCTTGCCCTCGATGCCTGCACTTAAAACACAGGTCAAAATGTCAAAGATATTATTATTAAAGAATCAAACTTAATAAAAATGCAAGAAATGGCATCGAAATCAAGTACAAACAGGCCACCGCCTTCCAAAGTGAATTCAAAACATCTTCTAACAGATAACCCACAACATAAGAATTACATTTATCAGATTCATTACATATTATCAGGTGCTAGACACATCAAGGTGACTCGCAATAATTGTATCCACGACGAACTCTAACCAAATAAAAAAAAAAAAAAAAGTGAGTGAAAACGAACCTGCATGCTGAACAGCGCAACCTGAAAAACAATTTAACTGCAGTATTAAGAGATTGATATATTTGAATATCCGTGCGTGTAAACAAAATCGAGAAAGCTTGAACAAAAGGAACAAAGTATTGAACCTCGTCTCAGGAGTCTTTTGATTTCACAAAACAAAAGAAAGAATTGATGTTTCGTGTTGGAGAATTATAGATCGGAAATGAATGAAAAAGTAAAATAGAACTCTCAGGAAAGGGCAAACCCTAAAATAGTGGACCCCACCAAGAAGACTATAGTTCCTTACACAGAGAGCACCCCTGTTTATTTCCCTCGGTTGAAAACTACCTGAGATAGCCGTGAATTTAGTTGTTTAAATAATGGAATATTTATTTTAATTTTTAAATTACAAAAAAATTATTATATTTTAGGGATTTTTTTAATTAAAATATACTTTCTAAAATTATAATAAGTTACGAATTATTCTATTATTAACTTATAATATTACAAAATAATGTAAAATTTATATTAAAAATAAAATTATTTTTTTTACCTCTTAAAAACTAAATTAACAGTGTCCCAGAGAATTTTTCATCTATCCATAAAAAAACAATTAATATGTAGTTTTTGGTCACTCACACCAATCAAACTATTTAATAATTATTTATTCCAGTTTGAGAAACGTAATATGTAATTGTCTAAACACAATATTTTTAGTTAAAGTTTATTTACAAATCACTGAATAACCCACAAGGTAGAAATATGAGTGAAATGTCCCACTGCACTACTGAATTTTGTAAGGTTATACACAAAAATCTACATTTTCGTATTATTAAAATTAAGTTAATATCATATTTAAAAGGTATCGATATCATATTTTTCAAACAATTGCAAAATTTTATGTAAAAATAAAATAAAAAGAACAAATTATCTCATCTAAGCAAACATAATGAGGTTTTAGTATTTATCTTTTTATTTGTTCATTCATTTTTATTCAAATTCATTATATATATAATTGAAATAAAATAAAATAAAAAAAATTAAAACATACTAATTATAAAATTTTGAAAATAAAATTACAAAATTATTTAATGATTAATTAAAAATTTTCTATTTATTCCTGTAGTAAAAAGAATTATTTTTTTTCATAACAACGTCTTTTAAAGGGATTAAATGAATGTATATGATTTTTGTGAAATTAGGTTTATCCTCTTTAGGTAAACACATAACTCAGAATCTGATATGAAACTAATATAAATTAGTAAATTTTATATTTATATATATATAAACATTTTATCTAATATATTTTTTTATCAAAAGTTAATAAAAAATAATAATCTTTTAAAATATAATTAAATTAGTAATTTAATAAAAAAAACCATCACAATATTTAATATTTTAATATAATAAAAAAAACTGAATGTACACAAAATATATATAAAAAATTGTCATTGATTAAAATTTTTATTAATTTCTAAAATAAATTGTGATTTATAATGACAATGTACTAAACAAACTATCAAAAAATTAAAATTTTAATAAATATTTTATTTTTACAATTTTTTATTTTAAATCATTAATATCTTTTAAGATATTTGTTTCATAATTAATAAAAAAATTTAAAAAACTCTCAAAAATCAATTAATTAAAAATCAAAGTAATTATTACTGTTAATATAATTATTATAGAAGTCATCAAACTTATAATACCTATTTGTTTATGTATTTTATATATATATATATATATATATATATATATATGTTTTTTATTTTTTTAATTTGTATATTTTTTAAAATTCATATTATAGTTTCTTTGTAGAATAATGAAACTTAACTTTTAGATGAGATGAAATTTATTTGGGATTGAATACAGTAAGATAACAAAGTATCACCGTATCTTAGTGGAGTGAATGACATTTGTGCATGATAAGTCTCAGGATTTTTATTTTTATTTTGGTATTTCTTAATAGAAGACACTCAGAAATTGTATATAGTATTTTTTTTTCTCTATAATCCTTTTAGTTTAATATCTTAGGGCTAATAGAAACCCTAAATCCTAGGATAGAAAGAGTTTAAAAACAGACTTTTTCTTGGCTGACTACCAGGAATTGTCGATTTATTTGTGGGTTGTGAAAATGGTATTTTTTTTTTTCCTAATTAATGATACAGTAACATTTAGGATAGTCAAATTGTACCTTCCTATCAGTTATAATAATTAGTGGTATTAGACTAAATAGTGAATTTAAAGGAATAAAAAAGGTAACAAAAATTAAAAAATAGGATGGTTAGGATTAAAAAAATGAATTAAAATTTACATAAATTTATTTATTATTAATAAATTTTTGGTTATTTTAATATATTTTTAATATACCTTTTTTATTATTTATTGATATAATAATAATAATAAAATATTAATTATTTTTTTAATATAATCTATTATGTTTAAAATTTTAAATTTTTATTATTTTTTTTACATATTTTATATCGATTTTATAATTTTCTTACTTTGAAATGCATATTTTCATGTATCCTATGTTTAGGTCGTTGTAATTTGTAAACCAACGTAGTGGAGAAAAATAATCTAGTTTAAATGAAACGAGTAATGCGAACGTGTTTACTAAAACCGGATCTTGTATTCCAGTATTTTTTATCTGAAAAGGAAAATTACATAATCTATTGCCAATTGACAGAAAATCAACACTATGAGACAATAACATTAAATAATGTACATATATTATATTTATGTAAAATTAAAATGAAAAAAAAAAAAGTTAAGAAAAAGGAGGAAAAGATTTAGAGCAAACAAGTGAAAAATGAAAACCCGAATAACAGCTTTACATGCCAGTTCGGTCAGGAGTTGGTTTTGGTTTCACTTTTGCCAAGTTAACAAGGTCCCCAAATAACTTATCTTCTGGTTTGGTAGGCTTCCCAGATGGCACATAGGATGCAGAAGAAACCTGGTAAGAATTTCTGAGAGCACCATCATCTCTCAATGATAAACCATACATTTGCTGCTCAACATATTGAACCCCTGGTTGCTGACCATAACCATATCCTACGAATTTGTTGCCATACATCTGTTGAGGATACATGTAAGCGACAGGACTATTATGCATTGGATGTGAAGCCATACCCATATAGGGACTGTTAACACCCTGAATACGCTGCGGATACAGGCCTAACTGATTACTTTGAACATTGCTGTTGATAGTTGACATATGGCTAGCATTTGGCTGCATATATATTCCAACAGCCTGGTCATGCCCCACTGCTTGAGATCCCTGAGGATGTGCAGGACTTTGTATATGCGTCATAACCACTTGAGTGACTTGCAGTGGTTGTGGGAATTGACTGCCTGCAACTGGACTTTCATTGTCTATAGGTTGAGCTTCCCAGGGAGGTGGTGGAAATGATCCGCCACTTGTTGTACCTATAAACCAAAAAAAATGGTCAGAAATCAAAATTCATCACAGCAACCTCTAAAAAGGGAATGCATTTGTGAAAGGATTTGAGCCAAACAGGAATTAAAATAAAAAAGTAGTAAGTGCACCATAAACTGGTGAAGGCGGCTGTTGTTGCTGCGCAACCTGACCATTCCAAGAAGGACCTGTGCTCTGCATATAAGGTGATTGCTCATACCGAGGTGACCCAACATTTGGCACACCTCCATTGGGGTAAAACACCCCTTGAGATATGAAAGTCTGCTGCTGTTGAAATGGAGGAGAAAACGGACCCGTTTGGCTGCCAACATTAATTGGCTGGGTATTAACAGAAGTAGGTGGATTGCTTCCATTAGAAAACATATCGAAAAGAACAAGGGCATTCTGTTGAGACATAGGGCTGGCTGGCTGCTGTTCTCCTATGGGGACGAGAGCAAGTGATGTCTCTGCTTTTGGTGAGTGATAGTCATCACCACTGAGCAGGTCCACTTTAGAATCAACCTTTGCAGGGGGAGCTGATCCATTTGATGTTGGGGGCGCAGGAAGCACTAACTGATTAAATGTTTGAGACCCAGTTTCAGTACTAGCAGACGACCTGCAAAATTATATTAAAATGAAATGGCAATAACCAGAAGACTCCGGACGGACTTGGAATATAATAGCACAAAAATTCACAAAGCAGAGCTGCAAAAAATCATCTTCAATTTGATTCCTAACAGAGAAGACCTCATTCCACTAGCAACAATACAAACAAATATATCTAGCATTCCATTGGCACATAGAGTTTGGAATTTATTTTAATTATAAAATTTACTGGGTAAAAAAAAAAAAAAAAGCAAATGGTAATAAATTACGGATTCCAATAGGGTATGAATGGAATTATTTGATTCTCATTGGGTAAGACTGATAGAATCATATGTCAATGAATGCAGGGCAATAATGTAGAGCAACAATAAACACTGGAACACCTTCCATCTGTTTGTTTACTAGTATCTCCAATATCAACTAAAGGACCATCAAAATCAACAAGTGCCCCAGTAGGTGCAGGCTTCAGATTCTCAGTATGATTTTGAGCAGAAGGCCCTGAAGCAGAAGTTCCTGAAGCAATGGATTCGTGCTTGGCCAAGACACGCTGAAGATCATCATTCAGAGATAGGCCTTGGCATAGCAGTGACTCATCCCTGTAAAAGTACACAAAAGCATACCATGATTAGTAGTTTTTTTCTTTAGATTTAAAGAAAACTTATTAAGAATTGAGTTAACATGTAAAGAATATATAATATCACAATAATTACATTGTAATATCTTGAAAAGGGAATGAGGCCTTACGAAGTTGAATTAACAAGGTGTACCACTCTCTGCTTGTATGTTCGACATTGCTCCACCAAATCAACAATAACTTCCTGCTGAAGACCCTGAAAATAGAATAAAAGAAATGCCACATATTCAATAGAATCATTAGTTTTGTTGATAAAAGCCTTGCAACAACAACAACAAAGCATAATACCTCTAGGTGAGGTCAACTATATAGATCATGCAATGCCATTCAACATGGTAAAAGCCTTTAAACTTCAAAATATATTTTTACTCATTTACATCAAAATTTGAATGTTTGGATTGAACCTTACTTCTTTGTTACCAGGGTCTAATGCATTGAGCATTTCTGCAAGAACATCCATAATACCACGTGCATTCTGAATTTCTGACAAACTGCCAATAGAAAGTCCAATAAAAAAACTCAAGGCATGATTATTGACGGCAGTCTATACAATGTAGCATAATTTTGCCATCATCATAATAGTCAAAGAAATGATAAAAATATAAAAGCTATCATTATATTTTGTGTGTCCTATGATAAAACCCGGGCCCTCTCTAGTTTCTGTTTAGTGAGAGTCACATGAAATTCACCCAATAATAAAGAATAAGGTATGTTACCAAGTGCCCCGGCGTTAAAAAGCATTTACTACACCCTAGTGCTCTAAAAAGAAAGAATCAAATGATTTTCTGTATTTTTTATATCAATAGAAAATTTGCGAAACTTATCTGATAATATCTTCTTTATCTTAGATCATTTTAGTGCATCCTAGAAGATGAATAAGAATTTATATTTGTTTTCTCTTTTATGATTAGTTTCCTTATTTTATTAGGATTTTTTGTAATTATAGGCTTATTATATCATGTAAATAAGAACATTATCTGCATTCATAAAAAAAAATAGGAATGTTATGCTATCCCCTATATTTATTATTTTTTGTATCAAGTTTATTTAAAATGGACTCAGCTACGTAGTCAGGACACATCATCTCTTGCATTTTTTTTCTCTCAACGGATATAATAAATGTTTTCTTTGTCAATATATACTTTCAACTTTGTTATTAATCAATACCAACATATACAAAAGAATATGTTGGAAACATGTCCATTGCACTGAAAAAGAGTGACAATTACTTCAATCTTATGAAATCCATAAAATTCAATTTTTTATAGTTGAAAAATAAATTCTTGAAAGTTTCGAACAGACTGTTGACTGTATCTAGACTAGCATTTTTTTTACACTATCGTATAAAGCTAGAAACAAGATGGAGCTTTAAAATTCAGTTATCTATCACTTTTATACTTCATTTAGAAAAGAAAAAATGTGAATAAAAATCAGTAGCTATGTTATTAAAAATTGAATCCCTTCTTTAAGAAAAATCTTGCATACTTTCCTTTACTTGCCACTTGGCTCCCACAAAACCACAGAAATTTGAATGATTCTTGGAAGAAAAATAATGGAACAACCATCTGAGTTGAGAAAACAGTTCAGAGTGCTATCCAATTATAAAAGAAACAGTACATGGCTTCAAAATGTGACAACTGGGCTACAAAGGAAAATATAAACCGGTAATAGAAATGGTAATGACTCTGAAATACATAACACATTCCATTAAAGATAAATCTGAAGACGACATGAGAATACGAAGCCAATAGAGGAGTGTCAAGCAATATGATGGTATCAACAGTTAAGTAAACTTCCTCATAGATGATCAAAAGAAAAGATATAGAAATGCACCTTAGGGCAGGAAACTCAGACTCTGCTGAGGACTCAGCTGTGTCTTGCCGAACAACAGTATCTCGTATATTTTGAGGGTATGATGACAATGGTTGTGTTTGTAGCGGCGTGAATATAGGTGCAGAATGCTCAGACCTCTGAGGGAATACTGCCCCAGCACGCTGAAACAAACAAATCCTTTATACAGCACAAGAAATATATAAACAAATCAAATTTAAAAAGGTGTACAAAAATATTATGATCGTAACCATCAACACTCTAAATCAAAACCCATATAACCAATCAGAGAATTAGAATTATGTCCAATAGAAAGGTGACAAAGGCCTCCTTTAAGAACTGTATCTCTTCCTGTTAATTATCGTAAGTGGGGTTGAAATATTTGGTAAGACAATCTCAATGCAAATAACTTTATAAACATACCAAAAGCTCCTGATATGCTGCATAATACTGTGGATATCTTGCTCTTGGCCCTCCAAAAGCCTCTTGCCAAGTATCTATAAGAGCCAATATCTTCTCTCGGACATGATAATCGGGCTACAAGTTTCGTGAGAAATATGATAAACATGCTTTTCATCATGAAGTCAGGTATAAAAATAGGAAGGCTCTGAAAACATCTAAAAAATATCAATACCCTCTTCTTCGCTATTTTCACCATATCATGAAGAACATCTCTCTCAGCAACATGCATGTGGATAATGTCCCCACAATTCTTTATGATTGTCTCCAGCAGCTAAAATATAGCAGTCGCATGAAAAAACAAATTAGTTTTTCCAATTATTAGAAGATGATACAGATATTTTCGTTAAGCAGACTGCACAAAATCCTCATTATCCGAGAAAACCTAATTTATACAGCTGTTAGGTATTCTCAGACGGAAGTAAGGAACTCAATTATTCAGGAAATCTGAACAAATATCAGCAAATACATTATGGAACATTCAATTTTCTTACACATCACACTACTGGCTTTTACTCCAAACTAATTCAGAAAAGATGATGATTAATTTCATTTCATAGCTTAACATCAATTTTCTTCCCACTAATTTTAGGGTGTCCTTGATAGAATAAAGCTTTTTATATTATAAAAAGAGTATTCTTTTTTATCTTTGCAAATTTTAACCCAGTTATCGTCATCTTCCGGATAATATATTTAAAATAATGATTAAATGAGAATTAAAAAGTTATAATTCATTCCACTCAGTCTTTCCAAAAATGGAATGAAATCTTGGTGCCGTTTCATTATAAAATTTTCACATAATGGCATGACACTTTTATTTCATTCTATTCCAATCCATCACATTCCATTATATTCCGATCCATCAGATTTCATTCTCTACCACTAATCCAAACATAACCTTAGTAAAACCCCATCTCATCGCAGACATATTTAAAAGAATGTTTACTATTTATTTCAAAGATGCAAACAACATAATGAAGATATAAAACAACGTTGTTTGAACATTCTAGAGGAAATACAGTCCTTTTCAACAGTTCGGCAAGCATAACATAGTAACCCAATAAACATAAAAAGGAGACTTATGCTAAAATTTCCATTGTATCCCCCCAAATAATAGTCAATATTTAACAAAAGCTTCCCACCAGTTATTTATCAATCAACAGCAAAAAAATAATCCACGGAATCATACCAGTTGTTTCTGTTCTAGTAATCTTTTTCTTTAATTCACGAGCATATATGGTAGTTGTGGAATGAGTGGCATCTATTATTACTTAAATCTATAATCTGACAGGGTTTTTAATATAGGATCTTGGCTTTTGTTGTTTTAAGGAGATGTCTATCTCAGACGATAAGAGAGAAACATTAAATCATCCTATACTGCTGAATAATCTAAAAAGGTGAATAAATAAAAGAAACATTGATCCTAAAGCAGCTTGAATAGTGTTAAGATAAGTTGAAAAGTATATAATAAAATATATGAGCTTACCGTCAGTGCAAGAATTTGAACTCTAGGAACTTTACTTCCAAGCCGCTTCTTTATACCTTTAACAACATCCTTTGCTTGCCTGATCATTCATAACCAAACTGAGTTAGCAAACTCTCGAAGTACAAACGAAGAAGCAACATTATAATTTTATGCATAAAATTGCAGTTAAACGTTTATATCTGTTCCAGCTCATCCCATGTAAGCATAAATCAATGGGCCCCATGCAGAAGAAATCTGGAAACCCGGCCTCCAGTTGGCCCAAGCAAACATCTTCCAACTGATAATGTAGAGCATTCATTCCATTCCAGCACATGGTACAAGGGAAGGCACAGTCGCATTTATGATGCATTTCCCCATTCAATAAGGCCCATATACCTTTTTTTCTGCCACATAAGTCATGCTTATAAGAACCTCTAGGTGGCCCCTGGCCATTGATCATAGCCAAGATAGCAAGTATTCAATACTCCCCCGCCTTTACTGCCAAAATAGGGTTGTCTATCACCACCAACCCACTTGATTTCGTAACTATCGTGCATCCAAAACCCAACACCCTTACTTGTAAGATCTAAGACTCCATATATATTGTTACTCTTCCAAAATCACTCTTTAACTTGGAAATTAGAGTCCTTGCAGGTATCACCCCACCATCGCTATTCTCTGCCGTGTCCAACCCACTTGAAGCCACTCGCCATCAAGGGCAAAATTGGTATACCCCGTTCTGGACCACCTCAGATCAATATCCATTAAAAAAAATCCCAAACTGAATAAACCCAGAAATGCATAGAAACATAAATAAAGAATAAAATGAGATGTGTCATCCCTTTTTCCCATTAGGAAAAGACAAAAGTGATTCGCAATCAACTCGGAAACAAGAAATTGGATATTCAGATATATTTCCAAATTATGAAACGTAACCTAATGGGCACAAACAGAATAGTATTAACTCCTAGAAGGCTTGAAATGTTCCAGTAAAAAGGAACTGGCAACTTATAGTGACCAGAAGCAAATTAGACATTACACAGCATCAGCGAACAAGTGGATCATGCACGCAAAATCCATAATAGCTATCTAATATCCCTATCCCTAATTGATCAATGAACAACGGCACTCAATCCTCAATCAACAAAGTGAAAAATCAAGTCCAACCTCTGGCTCGTACTTGAAATTTCTTATTTCAAAATTCTCTGTTCCACAGCTGTTACAGCTAATAAAACAATGCAAAGGCGAAATCACCACCATCATCATAGTTTAATAAATAAAAGAGCAGAGGAAACATAGGATACAAGAAAGGGTAAACGCCAACTGCTAAACTTCATCCATCGACACCAATTCGTAATTCAACTCTACAACTTATCTACCACGTCAGAATCCATATACAGCAGAAAACCTAATAAAAATTCGCTCGGGCACTTTTGTTCATAATAAGTCTTCCATAAACCGCCTAAACAACATAGAACTATTCGATCAAAACAACAACGAAGAGAAAGAAGATGAAGAAAACCGTGCAGAAAAAAAAAACGCACGCGCTCTCCATAACGTTGGAAATGAAGAAAAAGCGAAAATCCGAAGATATACGTACCCAGGGTCACGATTGAGTATGTCACAGATCTCCATGTTCAAAGCCCAATCAGGGCCCACGAGCATGCTGGTCGTGGCACGTTCAACCAAGGGATTCCCCATCGCTTCTCGCCGGCGACGAGAGGATCGATATTTTCCGGTGCGATAAAAAAGCGATTCCGGCGATCGCACAGAGAAATATATGTAACGGCCTGGCTCGCTCGGTCTCTAACAACAATAACAAAGTTCGCTGCTACGTCGCTGAATGAATAATTCCGTTGAGGTAAAGTAGGGGTAGAATTGGAAATGGGAAATCACGTACCAATGATAAGAGTCCAAGTGGCAGTGTGAAGGCGTGCTTCGCTATGCCACACCTGGGATACAGTTCAGAACAAAAAAAAACATTTGGATCATGTAGTAAACCAATTTTGAATATAAATGCGGCCGTTGTTTCCGCTAAACCGTGAAAAATCTAAAGATAATAATATTTTTTATTATTACTAATAAATTAACAAAAATTATAAAATATTTACAAAAAACTTTTCTCTGTATTAAAAAACTTCATCGAAATATATTTTATTCCTTCCTCATTGGGTAACAATTTTCTTTTAATTTCGATCCTTGTATGAAATAACTAAATTAGTATACACACCAGTTTTTTTTCTACTCCAAAATTTGTTTTGTTTTATGCATATATATTTGGTATTGATTAATTCATTTTATTCATAAAAGTTGAAGGGGTTCGCATCAACTTGATCAATTGAATTATACTCCTTTGACCATGATTAATACTGCAACATTTCCAATAAATATACAGTACATGGATAAAATAATATAAATGTTATTAATATCCACAAAACAAATTCTAATTATTGATTGAGTGAATACTTTAATTTTTTATAAAATTATTTATTAACAAAATACAACTTAATTAAATAAATGATATAACATCCTGAAAAAATCATATTTATAATTAAATAAATTATAAATAATTATTTTTTGAATTATTATTAGTAAAATCGTGTGTTAACCTGTATGTTATGTTTAGCGTTATAATTACTCTATGCATAATTAGAGTTTAATAAATGATTATATTAGTAGACCAATGGAACCAAATTGTACTGTGTAGTTAGATTAAGTCTAAGTAGAGTTACAGCGTTTAAAACTAATTGAGATTAACCAAGTTATAAGTGTTTGATTGACACTAATATTAAGGATGATTAGGAGCAGGTAATCAGATTTACAAATTACAGTAAAATTAAAACTTTAAATTTTGTTGGTTTAATTTCACTTAGCCATTTGTTGAACAAAGAGAGAAAAGTGAAAACAGTCGTAAATGGGATTTGCTTGCTTATATAGACAAAGTTATTTTTTGCCCAAAAATAAATAAATTTCGATGCATCCTATAATTCAACAATGTTAGCAACCACTTGCTAATTTGTTTATTCATACGTCACATTAGTAGCCTTGCAAGAAAGTCAAACACCTTAAAAACTTCATTATTCTTATCAGAAATTATTGTGAGTCACAGCTGACAGAAGAAAGTTACTCTTGCACCTTCTTCACCCCAAACAACTTGCAATCATGAGGTCAATACCTTGACAAGACAGAAGTTTTCTGGGTTCTATCCTTTGCTAACCCAACTTACTTAGTTCGTCAAAAACCCAAGATATGAAGGGGGTTTTATGGTCATTTTAGTGTGCTCCTACACATTATAATTTTATTAGGATGAATTATATGATATTATATGAAAAGATGAAGTACGTGGACAACAAATCAATATAGATTATTATAATTATAAAAATATATTTTGATATATCATGTAAAGTTAGATAAACTTACAATTAGTATATTTATAATGTAATGAAAATTTGAGGATTTGAATGTAATGATAATTGTGAAATTTATGATTTTGAATCTTTTAAATTTTATGATTATTTAATATATTTATTTATATATTTATAATTTTATTTTTTCATTATTTTTAATTTTTATATAATTTATGATTTTATTTCTTTAAATTTAATAATTATTTAATATATTTATTTATATATTTATAATTTTATTTTTTAATTTTTTGTTTTTTTCACCTTTTTATATTTATTTATTATTTATTAATAATATTTATTTAACCTCCTCATAATTAATATATAAAAAACAATTATAGTTTAAAATAATATATTATACACGGATATTAGTGAATAAATCATGGTATGTCAAACTACAATAACTTCAAACATGAAACTATATTATTATACACATAATAAATTAATACCCCCAAAAAAAGATGCATGCTAGAAATATTAAATAAACTGTAGCCAAAAAGCAATAGAATTAAAAACTCAGAAACTCATTAATTAAAAGTAAGAAGAGAACTTACCATAAATTTTTGTTCAAAAGAAAACAAATAGGATCACCTTTTCCAAAGCAAAACGGTTTAGACAATAACTATCGATAACAGCCAAGCATGTATTCTCCTATGGTATAAGAAACCTTTGTATTGGATGATTGTATTTGTTTTATATTATCAATTATTGACCATATTTTGTAATAATAATTTAAAAAATATATTTTATGTGTACCTTTTTATTCTCCTATGCGTTCAAATCATATTGCTATTGATATCGTCATTCTGTTGGCCAAGTTATGCGGACAACCGGCCAGTTAAAGGAAAAGACGCCGCCATTCGATTTTTCTAAGAATATTTTATATTTTTATTCATTAACAACGCACTTCGTCTGTTATCGGTGCCTCCGTGGCAACTAGCAAGTCCTGGCTGGAAATACATTGTCCAGGTGATATATGACTTAATCCGTTTAATAGATTGTGAAGGTTTAAGAAAATTTGTGACTTTAATTGAGGTAAATATATTTATAATATTTTCTTATTATATATTTAACAATTAAAATATTATTATTTTGATTAATAAATTTTTTAAAATTAATAATAATTTATTTTTTAAAATAAAATAATTTTTATTATAGTTTTTATATTAAATTATTATATTTATAATAGAAATTAATTGTATTAATATATTTTAAATTTTAAAACTTTTATTTAAATAATTTTTATATATAAATATATTAATATTTTTGTTTAGTTAACTTGAAATTGGTTTGTTATCTTATTATTATATTAGATTAAGTAAAAAATTATGATATATAAGTCAAATTAAACTATAGTTTTTTAATTATTTGATCATTAGATTGGGTAGTCCTTTTGACAATCTTAAATACGAGATTAAGTTGCATATTTAAAAATATTAATTACATCATTAAAAATCATAATAAACATAATAAATAAGAGAGTAATTTATAATATTATTGAAATTATATTTTAACCGAAAATAACTTGGACATCATTATATTGTTCCAAAACCTATATTTAAGTAAAATTAGTAATCAAATGTAGAATAAAAATAATATAAGAAATAATATATTAATTATAAACCAATATTTATACCCGATGATTCAATATTTTTATAATAATTAGTGGGAGATGATATATTGATAATCTTTACAACGCACACGAATTCATTAGACAACTCAATTTATTACTGTTATAATTATAGAAAGAATCAATCAAAATAAAAATAATTCAAAATTAATATTATATTATTAAATGAGGTCATTAGAAAGATGTTTGTAAACAAGAATGTGTAAAAATATATTTTTCCATAATTATTTTAAAAATTGTTAGATATTTTTTTTATAAATTATATTATTCGTAATTATTAATCTATTATACTATTTTTAAAAATATTATAATATTTTATATGATTATTATTGTAACAACTGACAAATTCTATTTAAAATTTTTACTAAAGGAAATAACTTTTTCAAGGTATAATAGTTCAGTTTATCGAAAAACATCACACTTCAAAAGTCATAATTTCACTAATGTTTTATGCATAATTACATAACATAAAATAACTCATTCAAATTTAAGAAATTTCTACTCTATTTCTCAAATTACTGGATCTTACTATCACCTGCAGAAGATTTGGAATCTGCTCACGTGTATAACATGATCATAGTAGGATCCCAAAATATCAAACACACAACAAAAGCAAGGGTAAACTACTATTTGATTAAACATATAGAATAATGTAACATTGCAAATAACACTTATTCATTCACAAATATCCTAAAGTTAGACTTACCGGAGAGTCTAGCATTTTACAATCACAACACACAACAAGACTGACGCTTTCCGGAAAACTATATGTAATTCAAGCCAATAAGGCAGACACCTGATGAGGAATATTTGGGGTTTCAGACCCTTAAAATTTCATGGCCCCAGACCTATAATATAATTTTTCAACCTCTCATCAAAGAAACACACGCATAGGATTGACACTATCTTGTGTCTCCATCGACTTCCCACCACAGATATCTTCGTCTATATGACTAGGAACATCTTGGAAGTCTGGATGCCCTATTACGCCTATCCATAATTCCATACACACTATTCTACACAGTACATCAAGTCTACCATTTAATAACTATTATAGTTTTCTTTTGGGTCTTACAACCTGTATTCTCACATTATCAGGTCTTAGTGCCCTTCATATTTCATTATTAACTCATATTCAACATAGAATAGTTAAAGGATGTAACAGAACATCAATAAACCAACTATGGATGACTTGCTGTCAGTGTAATCAATTACAACTGGTATGGTAATCGATTATCAGAGAGAAATTGGATATCTATTTCCCTCATCAGTAATCGATTACTACATCACTATAATCGATTACGCCCTGCAGAGTCAGATTATGCAGATGCAGTTTTTCAGTAGAACACATCCAATATAACTCAGGGTTTCTAGAATCAAACCAATATCATGCAGTTCACAATGTCCAACCCAACATTTAAAATTCTCAACTCCTATGCAATCACAATTCACTTAAAACGGTACATCCTTTCTCCTTTAAACCAACACAGACCAATCATACAGTTATGAAATTCAATGATACAAAGATATCTATTTCAGCCAATCTATTACAAAACAGTTTACATTGTAAGGTTTCCACAAGTGCTCACAATATCATATCACATACAACACGTATATATATCACAAACATACTCATTATTCACTTTATTTAACTTTTCATCAATACA